TGGATATGTAAAGTAAGACTATATATATATATATATATATATATATTAAAAACACAAAATAAAAATGGGGTACAGAACTAAATAAAGAATTCTCAATAGAGGAATTTAAAATGGCTGAAAGACACTTAAGAAAAGTGCTCAACATCCTTAACCATCATGAAAATGTAAATCAAAACAATTCTGAGACACCATCTTACAATTGCCAGAATGGCTAAAATCAAAAACATCAATGACAGTCTGTGCTGGCAAGGATGTGAAGAGAGGGAAACACTCCTCCATTGCTGGTGGGAGTGCAAACTTGTGTGGCCACTTTCGAAATCAGTAGGGCGGTTTCTCAGGTAAATAGGAGTCAGTTTACCTCATGATCCAGCAGTTCCACTCTTGGGCATATACCCAAAAGATGCACATTCATACAACAATGACATATGTTCAGCTATGTTCATAGCAGTGTTGTTTGTAATAGCCAGAACCTGGAATCAACCTAGATGCCCCTCAATTTGCAGGCAAATGGATGGAATTGGAAGAAACCATTCTGAGTGAGGTAATCATATCACAGAAATGCAAGCATGGTATGTACTCACTCATATATGGATATTAGATACAGAGAAAGGATTACCAGCCTACAATCCACACCACCAGAGAAACTACCAAGCAAGGATGACCTTAAGAGAGAAATACAAGGGAAAAGGGACAAGAACTCCTGAGCAAACTGAGAGCTTGTGGGGGGAGATGAGAGGGAGGGAGGGAAAAGAGAAGGGGAGTAGAGGAAGATGAAGAGAACAAGACTGAGACAGGGGAGGAATAAAGGAGATCAAGAAAAGAGATACCTTAATAGAGGGATCTATTAAAGGTTTAAAGAGAAATCAGGCACTAGGGAAATATTCAGACATAAACAAAAATGACCCCAACTAAGAATCTAGGCAGTAGTGGTGATGCCCTTCCCCTATAATGAGATTGATGACTAACTTAATTGCCATCCTAGAGCCTTCATTCAGTAGCTGATGGAAACAGAAGCAGACACCCTCAGCTAAACACTGAGCCGAACTCCTGGAATTCAGTTGTAGAGAGGGAGAAGGGATGAGCAAAGAGTCAAGACCATGATGGAGAAACCCACAGAAACAGCTGACCTGAGCAAGTGGGATCACATTGACCACAGTCATAAAGCTGGGGAACCAGCATTGACCTGAACCAAACCCTCTGAATGTGGTTCTCAGTTAGAAGGCCAGTTCAGTCTATGGGACCTGTGACAGTGGAACCAGGATGTATCCCTGGTACATAAAAGGACTTTGGGAGCACATTCCCCATAGAGGGATACTATTTAATTTCAGATACATGGACGAGGGCCTAGACCCTCCCCCAAATGATATTATAGGCTTTGATGATCACCCATGGAAGGCCTCATTGTCCCTAGGGAGTAGATGGGAGGTTGGTCGGGACTTGGTAGGGGCATGGGGAGGGGAAGGAGAGGGAACGGGGGGGGGGGGTTGATATGTAAAATGATTGTTTCTAAATAAAAAGAATTCTAGTGTAATGCTTAATGGAAATTGTCAGAGAAGATGTCTGTGACTTGTCTTGGAAGCTTGCTTACTTGTGTCCAGTGCTTCCCCATTATGTATGTTAGCTGGTGGCATTTCATCAGTGAATTTTGCTAGACTGAAAAAGATTCCTTTCTTTCTAGTGTTTTGTCATGAATGACTATTTCATCAATTGCGTTTCTCTATTGAACTGATTACATATGATTTTCTCCTCCATTATGTTAATATGGTGAGTCACACTGATTTTAAATATGTAATGCAGCACTTAGAGATGTACAATTCCCTCCTTCTTTAGCTACATCCATGAATTTTGATGTTACATTTTTCTTATTCACACAACCTGAAATCAACCTAATTTTGTCTGTGTTTTCATCCTGATCCTATATGTTGTTTACGTGTATATTTAAAATTGAAATACTTGGAGGTATTGGTTGCTAATATAATACCTTGAGACTATCTATTGGCTAGTTGCACTGACACAAGCTAGAGTCATGTTTTTATAGGGAAATTCAATTGAGAAAATGCCCCCATCAGGCATGAGAGGGTGGGAGAGAGTGAAAGAGGGAGGGAGGGAGGGGGAACTGGGAACTATTGTAAAATAAAAATAAGAATTATAAAAAAAAAATAAAATGCCCCCATCAGACTGACCTGTGGGCAATCCTGTAGGACATTTTTAAATTAGTGATTGATTATGGGAGAGCCCAGCTCCCTGTCAGTGGTACCTCCCCTGAGCTGGTGGTCTTGAGTAAGTCAGTAAGTATCACTGCTCATAACCTCTGCTTCAGTTTCTTTCCTGGCTTGCCTGGATGATGGACTACAAGCTGTAGGATGAAATAAACCCTTTCCTCTCTGAGTTGCTTTTGGTAATGGTATCTTGTCATAGCAATAGAACCCCTCAGACACACTAATTGATTTCAGTCTCTTTCATTAAGATTTGTTTCATAAAACAGCATATGTTCTATCTTAAGTGAATATTCTCTGTAGTCTTTAAAAATAATTGTTTGGTACAATTGTTGAGCGTAGGTTTTAAATAGCTAATCATCTAGTTCCGACTGTTGGTATAACAAATTGTTTTGGTTACTAGTCATCAAAATAATTCAATAATTATCTAAATACTTCAACTATTAGTGCAGCAAGCCTTGTAGAAGTGAAACAGCATGGAGTAGTTTGCCTTTTCTATGCGACCCAGCATTTCCACTGAACACTACCATTCTCAGTCGTAGTTTCACTTTACAAATGAAACGTGGAACCAAATAAATTACTCCTAGTCTGTTAGATGCATGGAAAATAACAGTGTACCATTACATGGAATTCAATACAAGGCACAAGCCAGCATTTCTTATGAATTATATGAATATCAATCTTGTTATATGTACGCTGTTTTTATAGAAAGGTAAATGCCACTAAGGATAAAATCTATGAGAATACTGATATATAAAGAAAAATTTCTTTCCTTTCTAAGGGCAGGATTAATAGAAACACTAAGTTACTTCTCATTTCTTCGTGTGTGTGTGTGTGTGTGTGTGTGTGTGTGCATGCAAGCACAAGTACAGGAAGCCATCCACACAGAAATAACATGGTCCTAGAATGAAATAAAGATATACATTGGTAAAGCATTCTTGGACAGCAGAACTAACATCATAAAAGCATAGTCCCAGGATTACATTTGGAAGAACTTGTTGACTAGGTAAAAGACTACGTGAAATCTCTTAAACCTAGCAACTTTTAAATTTTTGATTCACAAATAGCAATCAATTGAAGGGAACATTAAATGCTAACAAGCATAATTTATTTGCAGCTTTATTTCCAATTAGAGAAAGAGTTTTCACATACCAGTATAATACTATGCAAATATTGGGGAATTTTGTCCTTCAAATATTGGGCAGCTTAATCATAATTCTATCTGTAAATTTGGACATCCTGTAACCTATGGTTACCCAATTAAAATCTGTGCACTGTCTCCTCAAATCAGACCTTCTTTTCACCAATATAATAAATGGATTAGGATCAAGAGCACATGGATTATACTGCAGTGAGTTTTTATAGAGCACTTGCATGTTTTCAAAGGCTTGTACAATGCATGTTTGAGTCCTTCAAATAATCTACAGAGGACTTTGGGGAAAAACAGGTTATTACAGTAAAGACTCATCATTAAATCATTTTATTTTATATGCATGAGTGTTTTGCCTGCATGTAGAGATGTTCATATATCACATGTATTCCTGGTGTCCAGAGAGGTCAGAGGAGGGCATTGAATTCCCTGAAACTGGAGTTATGAATGATTATGAGTCATGACGTTGATCCTAAGAGTGTACCTGAGTTCTCTGCAAGAACAATAAATACTATTAATTACTGAACAACATCTCCAGCTCCAAGCTTCATACATGTGCTCACTCACCTTCAGGGTTAGAGTATACAATCAGTGTGGCTTTAATTCAAGTTAGTGACATTATTAAGACATAACTGTTTTGTTTAATATTTTTGAAATAATTATGGAGCTTCATTCAGTCTTCTTTCCAACAATGTCTTCCTGCTTTTGGTACTCTTACAATTAAACAGCTTGTGGGCAGAACCATGGTTGCCCTTGTTGCTACATAAGGTCAAATGTATAGGAAATGGATGACAAAGTTCAAATGTCAATATTTAAACTGATAAAGAGGACTGTGGCTCTCTTGTTAAGTGTCAAAGTAAAGACCCTGACACTAAGTATGCATTAGATATGTGATTAGTAAATGACAACCAAATGGAATGTGGTCTGTCACATTACAAAATCCCAACGAGCAACTAAATCACCCGAGCCCTGAGTAAATAACACGTCTGCATAGCCTAGGATTCTCTCACGGCGTGAGCACAGCTGAAGCAATGAAAATGAAAGGCATCTCTGTGACCTCTGCCGCTGAAGACTGTGTAACAAAGACATGGACATGGCAGACACTTGGACTCGCTACTCAGGCGCCCCAGCCTGAAGTCACCACAGCCATTGCAAACACACCTACCACTGACCCTAAGAATCCTCACGGAGAAGCTTCCCCCTTAGGAGGTCTTCTGAAGCCCTCTTCCTTCAGTCTGCTAGGGCCTTATTTCACTCAGGCTGTGAAGTTATAATGAAAAACTACATGTTACAAGCTGACTGTCACAGAAAGAATTCACTCCCGACTTCAATGACGAATGTGACAGCTTCAGTCACTCTTCTCTGACAAATAAGAGGGATAAATTTGTGATGGTAAAAACAAACAAACACCGGAGTATAAATTTGTGGAACCTGAACGTTTCATGTTTATTTGGAAAAGAAGAATTACAGCATGAAATGTACAGAAGGTAATAGAGCAACTAATTTGCTACATGAATTCTAAGCATAAATTCAGAAAAAGAAATATGCATGAAAAATATTACATTTTAAATGCAATTCTTTGTAAACTACTGTCAGGAAAAGTTCATCTTGGCACATAGAAAAGGCAATAGCCCTCAAGATAATTTACTAATGCCCCCGACCCCCAGGACTTCTGAACTCTGCATCATCCTGTGAGGGTAAAAGGAGCGTTAGGGTTAAAGAGCCCAAGAAATCATACTGTTGTGCTTCACCTGCCCTTAACTATTCTACAGCCCTAAGTTTAACTTAAGTAATAATAAGCTAAATAATTCAAGGCACGCCGATTGCATTTGGTTACAAAGTAGACGGAGAAGAAACAATTTTCAAGTCAAAAGTATTCTGAGATGAGATTTTATCTGGCACAATGTCTTACACACTTACTACACAATTGTAGGAATAAAGAATACTACAATTAAAATGTTTCAAAGTGAAGAAAACAAAAGCATATGCTGTTGGTTCTTTGCATGTTTAAATATATTAACCTGGAAAAACATCCCCATCATTTGGGCTGAAAGTCTTTGGAGTGCTGTTTTCTCCACATGGGCTGGGAAGCAGGCAAGCAAGATCAACTTGCCACTTGACACAGTAGCTTCTTTACAACAGGAAAGTCACCTCTGACACCGCTCTCTGTAATAGAAGTGCAACGCATTACTTCTCAGGGTTTTGTTTGTTTGTTTTGGTGTGTCTGTCTGTCTTCCTGAAGCAGGTCTTACTATGTAGCTCAGGTTGGCCTGGAACTAACTACATAGCCCAGGCTGGCCTCAAACTCCCAGCCCTCTGGCTTCAGCCTTCCCAGTGATGAGATTACAAACACACACTACCACAGCTGGCTTCCTTCTCAATTTCTGTCTTTGTAAAGTGAAGCCAAATGAACAGCTCCGTTCAGCTTCTATTTTAATGCATGTATATGTGTGCTCATATTGTATATATGTCCATGTGTGTGAGTCGCAAGTGTATGGATGTGGATGAACATGTATGTGTGTGCACATGCATGCAGAGGCCAGCGGAGATCAGGTGTTGTTTTTAAGAATGTCATCTATGCCATTTGAGACATGGTCTCTTACAATGTCTTTTACAGTTTAAGGTGAGGGGGTTGTGGGCTGTACTGCATTGCTCTTTTGTATGTTTTCCTCCATAGCATGACGCAGGCAGGTATTCAGATGGAAACTCTAATTCCCAAACCCTATGATTAAAGCATTGATCAATTTTGCATCTTACTTTATTTTCTGACTCCAGAACCAGAAAAATGCTAGAAGACCAGGTTCTGACAATTCTTCTAGACCATCTACAGGCAGTGTTCAAATACCAAATGGTTTCTTCTGACTGCTCACATCTGACCAACTCATCCAATCTAATTCATCTATCATCCAATCTAATTCATCTATCAATAATATAAATTAAGGAACTGTCCCTTATTATTAGAATTGGTATAAACCAGTAGGTTGCAAATTATAGACCATTTAGGGTTTGTTTCTGAGAGCCATTCAATAGTTCTGGAAGGTCAGATTTGCATAATGATATTATTTGCCTCTTTTACTCTTATTCACAAATGTATGCAGGGGTTTTGTGCAGTTTATCTGATATGTGATAGCAGAACAAATTGGATTCAAAACCACATAAGAATCAGGATGTATTTTTGTTGTTGTTGTTGTTTTGTTTTGTTGATACAGGGTTTCTCTGTGTAGTTCTGGCTGCCCTGAAACTCGCTTTGTAGACCAGGCTGGCACTGAACTCAGAGACCCACCAGTTCCTCCCTCCTGAGTGCTGGAATTAAAAGTATGTGCCACCAAACCCAGCTCAGGATGACTTTAAATGAGCCAGATGTTAAAGGTATTTGAAAGAGTGATTTATTTCTTACAATTTTTAACCTTAAAAATGAAAGGCACTTTATAATAAAACTTACCTTTACTCAAAATTATAGTAGGTTTCCTAATTTAAATCTTTGTTATTTTTCATTTTTAATATATAATAAAGTGTATTTTCAATAGATATAACTTGCATAATGAATAAGTTCTTTAAAAGTTTTATATATATTATATATGCCTATAGCTCTTGGAGGCCAGAAGAGGGCACAAGATCCCCTAGAACTGGAGTTACAGATGGTTGTGAGTCGTCATGTAAACGTTGGACATCAAGCCCAGGTCCTCCAGAAGAGAAGCCAGTACTCTCGAATGCTAAGCCATCTCTCCAGCCACTTAAATATTAAAGTTCTCAATTTTAGGAACAGAAAGCATTTTGTCATTGAAAATATGCTAATATAGACAATTATGACAAATCTCTTGCTAGCAATTAATTTCTTCCTCTATAAATTTTAGCTAAAAGTATAGCCTTTTCCACACTAATACTCTTAACATTAATTGAGAAATTGTTGTATAAAATAATTTCTAAAGTATATTGAAACTTCATTACATGTGTGTTTATCCCTCATACTTAAGTAGAAAACATAGCTCTGAACAAAATTACACAGAAATACATATACACACATACAAAAGTACATGGAAAGCTGGTAACATCTGAGAAAAGCCTATGACTAGCATTGATGTCAATTCCCAAGATTTAGTATGTCCTCTAATTATAGAAGAATTTACCAATGGGACAACTAGGTGAAGTGGACAAGACACTTCAGTAGTATTTTTGTTAACTTCTTGTGAATATATAATTAAAAATATTATGCTCAAAGCAAAAATTCATATACAGAGAAGTGTAATAAAATAAACACCTTACTTTTAAAAATGTAAAATTGAGATGGTCATGAAATCACACATTTATAATCTTAGGACCTGATAGCCTAAGGCAGGAGACCACATAAAGAGATCTAGACTGGAGAAAAAATAAAAAAGTAACCATCATACTATGTATTTGTAGACATCCAAAAACTGATTATTTAACTAACTTACATAGTGTTCCATGTGTAATTGAGATAAATTCTAGAGAAGTGATTAGTGACCCCTTAGCACATGTACTTCGAATCATTTCATTTGGGTATAGAATATGGAACATACTCAACGGTCCTGACCGAAAGTTGTTCTTTATGTACCCTATTTGTTTCATCAGTAAAACTGCCTCGGGAATTTTGATGTAGTATGTCATACTAACCATCTGTGACCTATCTTTTCCATTGTCTTTGTAAGTAGGGTAGAAATAGTTGTTTGAACTTCCTGTGGATGTTTCAGGGTCTTCTGTAGATGGTGGCATCTTAATCCAAGCTAGAAGATAAACAAGTGTAACAGTTATTAAAATATCTGGTTCTCCACCCCAGGAGAAGGGAACTCACTCTTATCATCGAAGCTGTGACCTTCAATGCACCAATATTACTGCCTTGCTCTACATAATAAAATTGCACTTAGGTTGCACCACTTTTGCATTTGACATTTCAGAAAGTACTTAGACTACTTAGACGTTATTAAAAGTAATGTTAATCAGGCGGTGGTGACACATGTCTTTAATCCCAACCCTCGGGAAGTAGAAGCTGGAGTTCTCTGTGAGTTCGAGGCCAGCCTGGTCTACAAAGCAAGCTCCAGGACAGCTAGAGCTACACACAGAGGAAACCCTGTCTTGAAAAATCCAAAAACTTAATGTTAAACATTTTCAGAATTTATCATCTTTATTAACCTCGCCCCACAAAAAATGAAATGGTTCAGAATATTCTTTCTATACTAATTTATTTATTCCATTCAATGAAGTACTGCCTGGTGTTACTAATATTTTTTTTGGATTGTCTCTCTTAGTAGGCAGAGATCATGCATTACATATCCCATGCCTTATAAGAGCCTGCATGTAGCCAGGTGTGGTAGTGCACACCTTTGATCCCAGGATGCAAAAGTCAGAGGCAGGTAAATCTCTACAATTCCAAGGCTAGCCTGATCTCAATAGTAAGATCATATATCCCCTGCCAAAACAATAAGCTAGTAGGTAGGAGGTATGTCTATCTGTCTGTCTGTCTCTCTCACTCACTCTCTCTTTTAGAATTAAACTGATTTTGATGAAGTAATTTGTGATGTTTAGTTTTAGTTGTCAACTTGACACAACCTAGGCTCACATGGGAAGACAGTCTCAGTGAGGGGTTGGCTAGATCATGGTGGCCAATGGTCAAGTCTATGGGGAATTACTTTAATTGTTATGGTAAGACCTAGGCTGAAAGTGGGCAGCATCCATTTTTGGTTTGGAACACTGGACTTTACGAGCATAAAGAAAGCTATCTGAGCAAACTATTCATGCAAGCAAGCAGCATAAATGCATTTATTTGTCTTTGTGTCCTGACTGTGGATAGGCTGTAACTAGCTGTTTCAAACTCTACAACTGTGACCTCTCTGCTATGGTGGACTGTAACTGGGAATTGCAAACTATAATAACAACTGCCCCCAATTGGTTTTGTCAAGGTACATCATCAAAGCAACAGAAAAGAAACTGGGACAAAATCTAAGTCACAAACTTACAGACCCCATATTGACTATAGGAAACTGTTCATGTCATCTTGCAAATATGTCAACCTTCTCTGGTGTGACTTCCATATATGTCAAGTGAAGCCATTGATACAAGACTGTCTATGCTGCTGGGGTTGGGAGTCACAACATAATGATCTGAAGGAACTAACTTCTAAATGGATCACTAAAAACTGAACAGTCATCATTACTTCTTCCTCTTCAACTAGTGGGATTAAGGACTATTTATTATAGGACTATTTATTATATTAAGTCCTGAGTATTATCATTTCTCAGGGAGTCTGTCCATTGTTACCAACATTATTTAGGAAATCTTGTATGCTTATATAGCACTTTATACCTCCCTATTATGACACTTACCATATTCCATTTTAATTGCTTACTGAATTATCTACCTTCCTAGCACTGGAAAGATGGCAACTCTGTGTGTTTTAATTAGACCTCAGATGCAACTCTATAAAATGTTATTTAACATAATTCTCCTAAGAAAATACATTTTCCAGCTCTAGTCACCAAACCAATGGTAAATAAACAATATATCCATGTGAGCCATTGTCTGTGCTATGTTCATTCCTGTGTCCTCTATTGTAAGAGTTCTCAAACTTGAAATGGAGCAGCATTATATAGAAAACTGCTCAAAACTCAGGTATCTGGGCTTCGCACCCAAAGCTTCTGCTTCAGATGATGTGAGGCCCCGCCCCAAATACTCTTCTATAAAACAAGTTCCCAGGCAGGGCTAATGTTACTGGTCCAGGCCCACACTTTTATAAACAGTGTCTATAGTGTCCACCAGAGTGCTTTTCATGTGCAGAAAATGAAACCCTTCTAAAACAGGTTAGCTTTCTGTTTATGCAAAAATAACACACGGCTAGATTCTTTCCAGTTTAGCAAAAGGAGTTAAAACACATAATTATGAATCTCTTTTCCAGATAACCAAGACACATACCTGCAGAATTTACTTTTGCCTGAACTGGCACAGCTGCCTCCCTGGCCTCCACCACACCACTGGCTTGTTCCACCTCTGCTCCTGCCTCTGCTTCCAATTCTACAGCACTTCCAAGAGTTGCCTCTTGCTTTCTGAAAAAGCCACATATAAAAATAGGTGAGCTTTGGCATAGTCTAAGAATAGTGGGAAATTAGAATCATCTACCTTAATACTATGAGTTAACAATAAGCTGAAAATCCATTCCAATAACTGATGTGCCCTTATTTAAGGATTATAATAGTTAATGATATAAAACAGCTTTAAGAGCTGTCCTAGGATTCAAGCCAGCACACCCCTTTCATGCAAAGATACTACTGCTCCCTTCTAGACCCAAGACAGGCACGTATACAATCTGTGTTTTTATCTTAACATGCCAGTTCTGGTATGTATAAATATGTAGATGAAATTTTAACCGGATTTACACTGTTAAGTTTGCACCAGCCAGTGTTATAGCAACTACTGAATATAACGAAGTCTTCACTTCTGTGTTTGAACGTCATAAACCCTGCCAGAAAAAGATCTTCAAGGTAGCTTGGTTCTCCTAAAGATACTGATGAAAATTGCACTGTCTCAGGTTTTAGAGACCTCTTGGACATATGTGAAACAAGAGAAAAAAAATCAGTTTATCTAGGAAGTCCTTCAGTGCTCCCTGTATCATGCAGCTATTGTGAACGCTGTGCCAGGGCTTCGGAAGTGACACGGAAGCTCTCCGTGTACATTCAGATGCAGAGTGCAGCTTTTAAGATGGTTGGAGGCAGAACATCAAGATTAGAGTTCTAAAAAGGCAGTGCTGAGCTACCATGTACAACTGCCACCATCCTGAAGGACTTCAGGCTCACTTCATTTCTGAGAAACATGTCTTCAGAATGTACAAAGACATTTGAGCCACCAGCAAGTCTTCTCCATCAAGGGAATACACACTGCGGGCCAGTCCTTTGTCTGCAGTTCTCATACTGTTTCTCCAGACAGACTGAAGGTAAGAAAATCACTCCAGAGAGAAAGCCGTGAATGAGACCCACCATGGGTACCCTCATTCTGAATGCAACTCTTTCCATAATCAAGTGCAAAGCACTTAAATGTTTTAAAAACACCCTTGCAATTTACAGGGACTGTTAGTGAGTATGCAACTCCAACATACGGCTTAGACCTGCCTTAACAGTGTGTTTATATTATCTAATGAGTGATTGCAATCACAGGAGGCTGGTTGTTGCGGAGATATTGTAATTAAGTTGTTTGGTATTTCTGGAGGCTGAAGATATTGCTAGTGGTTAGGAGCCATTGCAGTGGACCCAGGTTCAGTTCCCATCACAAACACAGTGGCTAGGAACTCTTTGTAAGTCCATTTGCAGGAGATGCAACACCCTCACTTTTGACCTCCTTGAACCAAGCAAACATGTGGTACACACATATACAGGTAGGCAAAATATTCATGCACATAAAGAGAAATAATCTAAAATATAGAATTATGTTTCTGAAAGAAATGGTCACTTACTCGGCTTTCTGTTGCTGAGGGGAAAGTTGATCCCGCTCTCTTAGCTGATCTTGCCTTCTTTTAGCTTACAATAAAACAAAGTTTATATGTCATTTAGAAATCATTTTTCTTTTCTTTAAAAGACAACAGCTTTCACATACATCAAAGAGGGAGGAGGGAGGAGGGAGAGAGACAGATGGACACACCCCCACGCCAACACACACTCTTTTCAGGAAATTGAACTAACCAACAGACAGAAAGGGCTCTAAAATGTGTAGATCCCAAAGTGTGCGTAGTTTTATTCAAAAAGTACAAACTGGGGGCTGGGGTGCTGTGGCACTCAGTGGGCAAAGCGGTTTCTGCACAAGAATGAGGACCTACGTTTAATTCTCTAAAACTGACAAAAACAAAACAAACAAACAAAAAACCTGGGATCAGTAGCACATGTCTGTAATCCCAGCACTCATATAGTAAGATAGAGGGTGGAGAAAGGACAGTTTCTGGAAGCTTCAAGGCTTTCAGCAGTAGCACAATGAAAAGTCGTCTTGCCGCAAGCAATGTAGAATGCAATTGGTCCTCTGATCTCAACATGCTCACCATGCACAGACACACACAGAGACACACGCGCGCGCGCATGCACACGCACATGCATGCACGCACGCACGCGCGCGCGCGCACACACACACACACACACACACACACAATCTTTTTCTTAAGTTCAAAGTTGCAACCAATTCTCTGTCGCAACCTTACTGAATACTGATTCTGTTAGGATCTACTCATAGGTACTTCCCAGGAAACTGATACCTTGGTGATTCTCAACTGGTTCAGAAGCACCAAGGCTCATCTTGGAGTTTAAATTTGTAATTCTCAATGTTGCTTTCCATTTAGCTTAGTAAATCCCTTCAATGTCATTAAATCATCAGCCCCATTCCCAGGAAGACTTTTCACAAAATCCAAGCTAATGTTTCGTCATTGTGCATCTCCGTATAAAGCATGAGTGCCTGGAATTACCAGTCAAAGAAAGGGAATGGATCCAGATGGGAGTGGAGGAGGGGCTGAGAGGAGTAGAGGGAGGGAAACCATCATCAGGGTATGTGAGGAAAAGAACTCATTTTCAATAAAAGAAAGAATGAAATTACCAGACAAAAGTTCCTGCTGCTTCAGTAAAATGTTTCTTAATTCTTTTAACCATAACAACTTCACATCAATATTTGGAGCCTAAAAATTAAAACAGAAGGGAAAAGTATGTTTTCTTTTGAAAAGAATGCTTTTATAATAATAAAAATGCAATCAAACATGAGTGGTTCTGTGAAGCATTTAAGTGGCTGATCTTAGGCATCTGATTAGATGAGCTATTATAATCAAAATCATTACAAAACTGCCTAGAGGAAATGCAGAGATCCATTCAGACAGACAGACAGACACACACACACACACACACCTTTTTGTTTCAATTTTGATAAAAACAAAGCGAGCTATAATATTTCCACAATGAAAATAACAATAATTAATAACAATAATCTTAAGAACTGATTCTATAAGCTCCCCCTTGTTCAGGTCAGCTGTTTCTCTGGGTTTCTCCAGCCTGGTCTTAACCCCTTTGCTCATCACTCCTCCCTCTCTACAACTGGATTCCAGGAGTTCGGATCAGTGTTTAGCTGTGGATGTGTGCTGGGAAACTAGCATAGGACCAACCAAGACTCCCTGAATGTGGTGTTAGTTAGGAGGACTGGGCAGTCTACGGGGCCTCTGGTAGTGGACCAGTATTTATCCCTAGTACATGAATGGACTTTGAAAGCCCATTTCACATAGAGGGATACTCTCTCAACCTAGACACATGGGGGAGGGCCTGGTCCCTGCTCCAAATGATATGACAGACTTTGAAGATCCCCCCATGGAAGGCCTCACCCTGGGTAGCAGAAAGGGGATAGGATGGGGTTGTGGGAGGAAAGGGAGGAGTGGAGGGTGAGGGAACTGGGATTGGCATGTAAAACAAGCTTATTGCAAATTTAAATTAAAAAAAAAACCTGTATATCCCTGATAATAAGATTGATAACTAACTTATATGCCATCATCGAACTTTCATCCAGTAGCTGAAGGAAACAGAGCAGACACTCACAGAACTCCTGGAATCCAATTGCAGAGAGGGAGGAGTGATAAGAAAAGGGTTCAAGACCAGGCTACAGAAACCCACAGAGACAGCTGACCTGAACAAGGAGGAGCTAATGGGCCCCCAGACTGATATCGGGAAAACAGCATTGGACCGACTCATACCCCCTGAATGTGAGTCTCAGAAGGCCTGGGCAGTCTAAGGGACCTCAGATAGTGGAACCAGGATGTATCCCTGCTTTGGGAGCACAATCCCCATGGAGGGATACTCCCCTAACCTAGAGGCTCCAAATGACTTGACAGATTTTGATGACCACTCCTGGAAGGCATCACCCTCCCTGTAGAGTGGGGGAGTGGGATGGGAGGGTGGTTGGGGGCATGGGAGGGAGGGAAAGAGTTGGAACTGAGATTGATATGTAAAATAAGAAAAGCAATAAATACATATTTAAAAAAAACTGATTCTAGCATGATGGATCACATAAATACTCTCCCATTGCTTATAAGGTAAGTTTATTATATGGTACCAACTATTGTATCTTAAAGAAAGCCGAGAAGGGTATTACTGCTATCAGTAAAAAAAAAAATCAAACAAGAAAAAAAAAGTGAACATCTGTAACAAATAATAACATGTGGATCAGCCACAAACTGTGACATAGAAACTTAATGAAAATGTCCTGAGTGCTCACACCTCCCTGAAACAGGGTGGGCCTCAGAGTACACATGCCCAGGATATTTCAAAGGAAGGAACAAATCTAAACTGTCATATGACAAGTACTCTAAATGCTGAAGACAAAGGAACTCAAGGCTGACTCTAGAAACTTCATAGAAGCAAAACAGTAGCAGTCAGATTTGAAAGGCATGAGATTTTATAAAAGGTAACTAATATTGTTTTTTTACAAACTCGGATTTTTTAATCATTTTTAAAAAAGATCTATGTATTTATTTGAATTCAATGTGTATGGGTGGTTTGCCTGAATGTATGTTAAACACATCACATACCTTAAGTACTCATGGAAACCAGAAGGAATCAAACTCTCATCTACCTAAGATTATAGATTGTTGTAAGTCACCTATTATGAGTATTGGAAACTTAACAGAGTTTTTTATCTTAATGTTGTGGCTGGAGAGATGATGACATTTACTACTCTTGCAGAGGACCTGACTTTGATTCCCAGCACCCATACAGAATAGCTCACAATGGACTTTAACTCCACCTCTAGGGGATGGGATCTGTTGCCCTCTTCTGGCTTCCTAAATCACTACACAAATTCGAAATCACACACACACACACACACACACACACACAAATCCTTAGCATGAATGCTATGGAGGTAACCGACTGCTTTCTGATTATATTTAAGGCCTGCTCCATTAGAGAAAACACAGGTCTGGTATTGCAAAGCTGGTTAAGTACCCATGGTTGGGGAGCTCATAAATTCCAGGGGTGACCTGCTACTATTATTTTGTTAACTAGACATAGTATCAAACTGCCCTCTAAATTAATATCTACCTCAGTGCAACTCTCAGAGCTCATCAGAGAAGTTTATTTGTGCAGTGTTGGAAGGTTAACAAAGAAACTTGCAACAGCTTCAAGAACAGAGACTGAGTGTGCACTTCTCAGTCATAAATGGCCTTCTATACCTCACTCTTTCCCCAAGGCTCAGAAACGATCACAGAAGACAGGACAGAAAACTTGGAAGACCCAAGAGGTTGGGGATGACCATAGCAAAGCAGTATCTCCTGGATATGACAGAACCACTGCACTCAAGAACCCGCAGCTGCTATGGATACCTGTACAAGACCTAACAAGACAAAGCCAATCAACATCCCAGCATGGGGTTCCCACTCCTAAGTCAGGAGCAATGGATTGTTACTGGCTTCTGGGATAAAGAGAAACAGTTTTTGTTAGCAATGATTTAACCCTCTCAAGTGGCTGTCCCCACACCCAGGGATATATGGTCAAAACAGATTGAAATGGATGGGTCATTAAATAAAATAATAAATAAATAAATAATGTGAAACTTAATGCTGATTATGGTTTCCAGAAGAGTAACCAACCTGAACAATATAAATTTCCTCCTTCTCACCATACCATATTTCAAACTTGCGGTTATCACCTTTCACGTGTTCCGTGATTCCAGCTTCTTCCATCTACAACAAATCAAGCATTTCCTGAGTATTTGATTTCAAAATGGAAGTATATTCATCATGCTCTATCGTAATCTAAGAGAACAGAATGTGTCATCTAAGTAAAGTACACATTTTACTTTTAATGAGTGGTATAGCCATTGGCATGAGGACTTAAGGGGTCAGATGCCATGCTCCACTCTAGTTCCTAATATAAATGTCACACATCTGAATACCCAGGCCACCTATCTAAGGTTGAATTCCGCTGGAAATTGACTATACAGTATTAAGACAAAATTTTGTCAGATGAAAAAGTAATTAGGCATCAATATGAAAAGCCACCTGAACTTGGTTAATTTCAATGTTTTTTTAAAGTAATTATTGGCCATACCAATTTATTCCCTATGATCTGTAAGTAGCAAATTTATGGATCAGGGAAGGACCAGCCAAGTTCACAGAGGGTTTTCTATTCCCACCAATCCCTCTACAGCAAACAAAATAGCTAACGTGAAAGAGTGATAGCCTTCTCATGGCAGTAAAACTTGTGTAGTGTACTTTTCTTCCTTCCCACTACTTCCTTCTCACCTTTGTTTGTGCTTCGCACACTTTTCTTTCTCCATTTACTGCTAACCTTGGCTAATTCCATGTGGGACAACTTCAGTCCCTTGTGTAACATTTCCTTTAAGTTCTTCTAAGCCTTGCCTCTTTTCTTTCAATTCCTTCCTAATTTCCTAAAGGAATATCACACTTCATTCCATTTGTGAACACCCAAAATGACCCTAATTAAAACTAATAAACATTAAGGGTAATGCTCATAAGATTACTGCATTAAGGTAAAGGAAAACAATTATTCTCAGAAATGCAACTCAGCTATGTTAATTAAAGAACCCCTGACATTTACCTTGAATGGAGTCTAAAGTTACTTTCAAATGCTCCCTAATATATCTGTCCTGTACCACTCTAGTCTCTCTCTGCTCAAATATTTAGATATAAGAATACTTACATTCTATCCTTTTCAAAAGTGAATTGTGTTTCATCACATAACTGTCTCAATAGGATGATAGGTAGCAAACATACAGACTTCCAAATCAAAGGTCAGGATGACCTCCATCCCCATCACTAGCATTAATCAGCTATGTGTCTTAGTGTAAGGTGCTCAAGTTTTCTCAAGTTCCATTTTCAACCATAAAATTGGTAAAGCATGTATTTCATGGAGTTGATATAGAGATTATAAGTATTAAACAGCATGCTCAAGTCATATAGGTTTTTGTGGGTATGCATGTTCACATGTACACGGGTACATATGTACATGTATGGAGACCAGAGGTTGATGTCAGGCATTTATTGATACAGGGTCTCTTGCTGAACCCAAAGCTCACCTGATCCCGCTAATCTAACTCACCAGCTTGCTTAGGGGATCCCCCGATTACCTGTGACCAGACATGTGGTTTTTCTATGGATGCTAAGTACTTGCATTAGGGTACATATTCATTAAAAAGACAACAGAAGGCTGTGTAATTCCAGCTTGGTGTGATGCAGTCAAGACAAAAAATCCATTTCAGGAAAGAGAAGTTGTTCAGCTTTGTTTAGTGGAACACTGACCGGTAATGACAGACTCTCTTGAGAAAAAAACAGGAGGAAGCAGGCATAATGAGACCTAAGAAATGTCTAACTTACATCTTTCTTAGTCTACAGCATCACCATTTTCCCAGGAATCTTTATCAAATTTTGCAGGCATCCTGACGAATTTTTTGCTTTTTGTTTTTCTATTAATGGTACAAATATATCACAAAACCAAAGCAAAACCAGGCAGGTTTTCTTCTTTTAAATGTCAAGTAGTATTTATTTTCTGTATCTGGTAAGTCACTAAGCCCTTATATCTGCCTTCCATTGAAATGTTTCTTGCATCAATTCCTCTTTCTGTTTCCATGGTAACTATTGTGATCCTTCTGGCTTCATTACCTCATTAGTTCTTCTTTACTTTAATGAACTTCAGAAGCATTCTGTTGAAATGCCTATCATTGTATCAAACTTAAACTAGAAAAAAAAATTAATGCAAAAGAAATTCTGCATTACGCAGTCACTAGATCACCCCACAAATGGAATGTGAATCAAGTTGGTTTATGTCAAACATGCCTACAAACCTGAAGTACCTTTTCAAAGAGTACATATGTAGATGGCAAGTTCTAAAACCTGACCTGATTCTTAGTTGATGTTCACTAAAGTCATAAATAACTCTGATATGTAGACTTGGAGTAACTGAGTACTTGAGATAACGATGGCTGGAATTGTAAAGAATCTGTGGAGCTCCTGTGGATTCGGAATTGAATACAAAATGGACAATGGAAAACCCTCAGGGAGGTGACCCTGGGTAGACTTTTGCTAGATACAGCTAGAGGTAGCTGACCAGTATGAGAAAAATCAAAAGTAGGGCCTGCTTATCAGGTGGCCTCCTTAAAGTACGTCCTCAAGTCCATGACAGGTCCATCAATGTAAGCACTGCTGAATTTTTATCAGCTCTCAACTACATTAGGAAGGCTAACTGTGAAAGAAAACACTCATACAAAATGACTAAAATGGTAGTGACTGGAGAATTGAAGGTAAGAATTGCAATCTTCCAATTATTCTATAAACAAATGTGTTGCTTTTGGAATCTAAATTTCAAAGATAAAATTCGTTAGGTTTAAAATAACCAAATTTGTCAAGTATAGCCTCATGTGAATCGGAAGTACTGCTGCGCTGCTAATGATGTTCACAAAAAACTGTGTCCTCACTTTAACACAAGACTAATGTCAGAGCACCATGACAGTTTGGGTTCTAGAGAGAATAAAATAATTTCATAGAATAGCACAGAATATATATGAGAAAGATTCAGCTGTAGATAGCTTTGGATATCCAGAAAGCATGGGGCCAAGGAATGGGGTGGGACAAAGAAAGAAGGGTAGGAATATGCTAAGCACAAAAGTTCCCCCTCTATTTAAAGGCAGTGAGAAGGGGAAAACCCTATCCTCCTTCTTTCCTCTATAACAAAGCTTCTTGATAACAAGACTGAGAATTTTATCCAGTACCACTGGAAGAAAGCTCATCCATAGGTGCCAGGACACAAAGGACAGCTTGGAGAATGTCTGAGACTACAGTGATGGGGGAGGTGAATCAAAGCCCTACACCTGGGCCCAACCCCGTGTCCTGATTTCAGACTCCCAAAACCCATGCAAAGCTAGATGAGGTAGTACATGCTTGTAATAGTGGTCCCACAGCAAGATAGGAAGTGGAGACAGAAGAATGTCTGGGAGCTCTTGGGCCAGCGAGACTGGTGTGCATAGCAGTGGACAACAGGACACCTTGTTTCAAACAAGGTGGAAGGGAAGGACCTACATCTGAGCATCCTATGACCTCCAAAGTTATGCTGTAGCATATATGTGCCTGTACTCACACATGAACACACATGCATTGTTGTTTTCTTTTGTTGATTCTTTTAAACAGAGGGGTATGAAACCTACTTATTTAAGGAAAAAAAGTATTCAAGATGGAATACATGTAAGACAAGACTGCATCACACAATGTGAGTTTTCTTACTTTTAGGCAGTGCTTAAAACTGTATGATGGGTATCTATCAGCACCTTCGCCAGATTCAACACGTCTCTTACAAAACATAACAGCTTTTTCGTACAAGAAAAGGTGTCTCTGCATGGGCTTGAATCTTGCGAAATCCTTCATTTTTGTAGCACCTTTCCGGTGTCCCAGCCAAACACTGAATGAACCTTGCAGAATCATTTTACCCAGCTCATTCAGATTTCCCTAGAATGAAAAATCAAAACCAATTTAGAGAAGACAGAGCAATATTCATGCATCAGACAATGGCATCTTAATATTTAGCTTGACCTACTAATACTCTGAAGCACATTTTACCTGCTTTATTTTTTTTTTCCAAATCATCACTTAAGACTTTTTATAGCTGAGGAGCCATCACACTTTGTTCACAGGAAATGGATAAATGTATCCAGTACTGCCCTGGATGGTTTACCCCTTACAGGCTAACTTTCATAGTACTAGAAGGTGCTATGCAGGCTGCGAGATGGGGGTAGTCAATTGTCATTAAGCAGCTGTGACCCATGTGAGTTACAATAATGATCAAATGGCAGAATAGTCAAATTGATGCCATAGTGTCATGAAGGTTAGGGGTATAATAAACTGTTTTTTTTTCCTTTATATCCTTTATTGAAAATAGGTCTTTTTCAGACAATATATTCTGAATACAGTTAGCACTCCCCAAACTCTTCTTAGATCCTCTTCACCTTCCCTCCCATACAGATTCATACCTATGAATTCATACCTATGTCCCTCCTTAGAAAACAAACAGGTATCTAAGGAATAATAATAAAATAAATTGAACTAAAACAAAATAAACCAAAACGAAGAAACTGGAATAGAATGAAATAAACAAGAAATAGAGCCAAATAAAAAGCACAAGAAACATAGATGCAGAGACACACGTTTGTACACATATAAATCCCATAAAAACACAAAATTAGAAGCCATAATATATACACAAAGAATCTGTAATATAATAATTTTAAAGCTGATAAAACATTATGAGACAAAGAACCTCCAAAAATGCCATTTGAGTTCTTTTTCTTTGCTATCTTCTGCTGGGCATGGAGCCTGCCCTTAAAAGTCTGTCATGCAGTGGTGAGGGTGAGGGAAAATGTCCTCCCCACCCCCTTGCTACCTGTGGCATGCTAGAGAGCTGACCCTGAAGTCAAAGCATGAGAGAATGAGCCCTGCCCTACACCAGCTCACAGGAGCACAGGCCCTACACCCCACCAGGGGAGCACAATAGAGCTGACCCTGTTGTTAGGGGTCCAGGTGAGTCATCCCTGAGGGTGTGAGAACAGGAGAGATGACCCTGCCCCCTCATCTTCCCCCTACAGCAATGGGGAGAGAGGGCTCTGCACCTCCCCTGGGCTAAAGAGAGGAGCCGGCCTGGTGGTGTGAGTTTGGGGGGCCTGGATCTTAGAGCCAAACAGAAAGTGAACTGGCACAACTCTTTGCTGTAGGCTGCATTGGGTGAGCTGAAGAGCTCGTGCAAGTAGTGACGATGAGAGAATGCTAGTGAATTGATCAACCCAGCTACCTCCCAGGCCCAGAACCAGAGCTATGGGTAGGCCCATCCCAAAGTTCATCAAATCTATGAACTGTTGAAACATATGAAAAGGACAAACCTCCGGATCCAAAACAGCAGGATCTCCATAACACAGAACAACAAGAAATCCAAGAGTAGTCCCAGTGAGAGTCCATTACTGGGTGGTGTAGCAGAAGCCAGAGGCCTCAAGCCAGACCAATGACTTACGGCAATGAACATTGCAAGTAAAGATGTATGGACTAACGGGTCTCAATGGGCCACATTGTAGTGTCTATGATACAACTCTTCTCTTTTATGTTTTTGTTTTGTTTGGTTTTTGGTTTTTCTTTTCAATTTGGCTTGGTTTGGGGGAGTGTGAGGGCAGAGGGAGGATGCGTGAGGGAAAAGGGAGATGAGTAGGATTGGAAGACATGATGGGAAATACACAAAGAGTCAGGAAAAGTAAAATTTTCTTCAAAAGTTGTTTTCAACTTTTCACTGTGTCATAACTTTTTGCTCTGAAACACACCATGTCTCACATTTAAAACTGCTGTGAGGTTGCCACATAAAAGAACCTTCATTTTCCTTGGCTTCATGGTATTTCCAATGTGGAGTTATATCAGCTGGAGAGATGTTAATATCTCTTCCTCATTCCTGATTGGTGCATGATATATTACCACCCTCTGGATGGAGCTGTTCTTGGAAAAGGTGGCGAGACCTAAAGACTTGACCCTTTTTATTCAGATCTAAATCTAGCCTAGGGCAAGTAGTAATTCTGGGACAGTATGTCTGCTTGGCAGACCCAAGTTCCAGACTTGAAGGCAGGCTGCTACAGATCAGGAAAATGTCATCAAATTCCATTTGGCTGCTGCTCTGCAGCCAATTGTTCACTGAGCATTATCAATAAAAATGCTTATATTTCTATTTCCATTTGTCTACCTCTTCTATGTTTGTCATTTCCCAATTGAATCCAAGGGATTCTGACAAATCTACCCTCTAAAATTCCAATAATCACTAAAATTTACTTACAATATAGCCATTGATTGCAATCTGGTGCATGGAATCATTCACTGATTTCAGTAAGTCCAGCATTGTATCAAGTGCCTCCTTTAACTGAGCTGTCCCTTCACCTTCTTTACTGTATTTTAAGAGCTCCTATAATTAGAAATTAAACAACATTAGTTGCATACAAAACTTCTGGAAAATTGAATAATTTGGAGCTAATATGCTTTTGAGCAGTAAACTGTCACTTGTAATTTCTTTCATATTGTCTGTAATGTTAACATTATATTTAATAAACAGTGTCAAAATTGAGGAAGAAGCAGAATAATGGCTGAAGAGTATAAAACAAAGGACATTCAAAATGCTTTACAGCTAAAACAACAGAGCTACGAAAACACAGGAGAGATTAGTTTTCAAAGCAATTACACGAGTTTTCCTCTTCTACATATAAGAATTTGTCACTCACGATGCATAGCGTATCATGAAACACATTTTAAAAGAAACTATGTTGAACTTTTACATAATAGATTCTACCAGTCCTTTCCCATTAAAGTAGGGGACTGTCACTTTCATTCTTCATTGAAAATCTTAAAATGAATGAGTACACAGTTAGATCTTAACACCATGAGAAATTCTGTTGTAATGTATATATAAATATAGATAGAACTGCTATGAAGGATCAAGGTCTATACACTCACAGTTTAATTACCTTGCATATGTCATTTGTACACCATCATAAAAAAGCACACTATAAAAATCTTACACCAAAATCTGGCCATTCCTCTCCTTCAACCTATTTCTGAGGCTCCCTAGTCAACCATTTCCTTTTAAATGACTACCAGATCTGATTCCAAAAAAAAAAAAAAAAGTTAAGTAGGAGCTGAAGAGATGGCTAATTGATTAAGAGCACTAGCTATTCTTGCAGAGGACCTGGACTCTATAAATCTGATGCCTTCTTCTTACCTCCATGGGTACCAGACACACATGCTACACATATATGCATGCAAGCAAAACACTCATACACATAAAATTATTGTTAAAGTAAAGAAACAAGCAAATACTTCATGTAATTACCTTTAAAAGTAACTGATACTTAGTGATTCGTTGAACTGGTTTGAGCAAATAGGAATCCAGACCAAGTCGATGTTTTAATTTTCGTTGACATTCCTGTCATTAAAAGGTAATTATTAGCTGGGTACAGTGGCACATGTCTTTATTCCCAGGATTCTGGAGGCAAAGGCAGGCAGATCTCTGTAAGCTTGATATCAGCCTGGTCCACACCAGCCAAAGCTACATAATAGAGAAACCCTGTCTCAAAAAATATAATAATCAATAAATGTTAAATCAAGAAATGTAGAGTGATACAGGGAAACAACAAAATATGTATGAAAATTCCTTATGGAATGCTTACCTTGTAAGCTTATTTTAAAAGTAATTTATTTTCAAAAGATATAAACCAAGGCTAGAGAAATGGGTCAGAAGTAAGAGCTGTTCTTCCAGATGAACAAGGTTCAGTTCCCAGCACCCACACAGTAACTCACAATCATCCCTAACTCTAGTTCCAAGGACTCCAATGTTCTCTTTTGATTTACATGGACAACAGGGTCAGTGTGTGTGTGTGTGTGTGTGTGTGTGTGTGTGTGTGTGTGTGTGTGTGTGTGTAAGGCAAAATACTCAGATACAAAAAACAAATAAATCATTAAACAAGTTTTAATAAATTAAAATAAAAATACACGTGCCTGTAAAATTCCAAGTACTCATTAATTAGATGCCAGATATGAATCTTTCTTACATGTATCAGAAAAATCACTGCTACACATAGTACAAAAATTATGAGAATACACCTGAAAACCTATTAGGAATATCACTTTAAAATTTGAGGGCACATGTCTGCAATCCCAGCACTCAAGTGGAAGGCGAATCTATGATTGTTTTAGAACGTCTTGATCTACATGGTGAGTTCCATCTCAAAAAGAAATGGAGAAAAGAGCAAGAAACAAAAGGGTGAGGGGAAGGAGGGGGAAGAAGAGAGGAAGGAGGCAGGAAGGAGGGAGGCATGGAGGGAAGGAGAAAGAAGGAAGGAAAAAGGAAGGGAAAAAGAAAGGCAGAATGTATGGATAGAAGGATTTAGAATGTAGAAAACTACAGTATTTCAAAGTCTAAAAGGTTTCCCTTTAAAAATTCACATTGGTATAAACTGCATAAAATTTGAGAAAGCAGGAAATGATAATAGGTTAGAATGATTAAAATGTTCTTCAATATGTCCAAGAAAACTGACAAAAGACCAGCTCTACAGGCAAGGGCCCAGAAAAGAAATAGGTTGTGCTAAATATAAATCTGACTGGGTATGAGAACAGAATATTTTTTAAGATCGCAAGAAAAATACAGACTTCATCAACTGGTGCTGTATTTCATTCAGTAATTGGCTTGCTGCCACTATAAATATAGGGGTCATGACATTGGGTCCTGGGAACAGTGGAGGGACCATCGTTAAGAAAAGATGGGGGTTGGATGAATGTGCATATGGAAAATACATAATACAAAAGGACTGGGCAAAAGATATACCTGAATAAAATATAGGGCCCTTCCACTAAATGTGAATAAAGTTCTGCATATAATCTAATTCAAATAAGAATAAACAATCAACACTTAGAGATGATAGACTTATACATACATTTTGATCTCCTTCTTGAAACCCAGCTAGAATGATGACATATATTTTTATCAAGACAAAAAAATGGAGAAACACTTGCAAAACTTAAAAACTCAAAGTCAATTCACACATGGTATCTAATTACAAGTTGAGAGAGGAAAAGGCCAAAAACAGCTCATTTTTTATGTTAGAGAATGCCCCCTTATCCGTCTCAAAGAAATACCCAGTACCCCTGAAAGAGAAAGGTTCAACGTATTTATGAAATACACACAAACAATTGTTGGTGAGGAAGTGAGACATTCAGAACTCATACACTCTAGTAGTAATAGAAAACCATAGTCACTATGGAAACAGTCCAACAGCTAGCTATTACAAGTAACCAAGCACAATGGCTCACACATTTAATTCCAAGGCTCAGGAAGAAGAAGCACATCCATCTCTGTGAGTTCAAGGCTGAGCTGGTCTATATAATGCTATAATGCATTCCAGGCTAGTCAGGGCTACTCAGTAAGATCCTATTCAACATTAAATAAAGAGTTTCCATATGACCCATTTTATTCCTAGGTGTATAGCCATACGAAAAAAGAAAAATTTGCTTTTTTTTTTTTTTTTTTTTTTTTTTGTAACGAGGTTAAGAGGACTGGCTGCTCTTCCAGAGGACCTGAGTTAGATTCCCAGCTCCCACATGGTGGTGTACAACCACTTGTAATTCCAGTTCCAAAGAATGTGAAAACCTCTTCCGGCCTTCGAGGGAACTCTATGCACATGGTACACAAACATGTATACAGGAAAAACACATGTACACTATAGAATAATAAAATTTCTCAAAAAACTTGTATACTAGCTATTAAAAGACAGAACAAAACAAATGCCTATCAACTAATGAGCATATGAATCAAATATGATCTATCTACTGAACAAGATATTCAAAGAGAAAAAGAAAAAAGTATTGCTATATACAATGGCATGAAGCTCAAAAATATGTGAAATAAGTGGTTCTCAATCTGTGGGTCATGACCACTTTGGGTGTCACATTATCAGATATTTACATTATGAATCATAATAGCAGAAAAATTTACAGTTATGAAGTAGTAATGAAAGTAATTTTATGGTTGGGGGTCACCACACACGAGGAACTGCATAAAAGGTCATAGCAGTAGGAAGGTTGAGAACCACTATGTTAAGAAGCTACATTAAAACACAATAAAGTGTACGTATTTGCTTATATAAAAGGCTCAGAATAGATAAATCCACAAAAACATAAATCAGATTAACATTAATTGAATGGATTGGAGGAAATCAGTAAATCAGTGAATAAAAGGTAACTATTAAAAGGTATAAGGTAGTGTGAATGTGAATTCCTTTTTTCTTCTGGGCTTGGCTTGTTAGTTGGTTGTTATTATTTATTTGTTTTCTAAGGTAAGATCTCACTATGAAGCCAAGGGATTACTCAAAACTCAAGATCCTTCTTCCTTAGACCTGTCTATACTAGAATAACAAATGTATGCCACCATGATTGACTTTAGGGTAGAAACTTTTAATAGTAAAAATGTTCTTAAATTGAATGGGTTGGTAATCATACCTATTACCAAAACCAAAATAGAATGGACACTAAAATCTAAAATAAAAATTTAAAGCTGCAATAAGCACAACATACACACACTGCAGAAGAATGATTCTCTATAAAATAGTAAAGCAGAGGGCCACTGGGCTAAGGGATATAAGGTTCAACTGATCTCAGATCACCATACTGAAAGCAAGGATAGTTAGCTACTATATATCTAACAACTTTGAAGATCACATTCTTTTCCTCAAGTACAATAGCAGCCAATTAGGTTTCTATTGAACAGCAGTCTGGAGGATCTAAGCTGAAGAGAAACTACCTAAAGATAGATATATTAAGAAAGGGCCCCCATCTCCCACTACCACACCAAAGGAAAAAACTAAAGACAAACAATCCAAGACTGAGAACTGTTCTTGATGAACCCAGAAATGCACAAGAAACTTTGAATCAGATTCCATGTGCTTGTCCCTCATGTAACCAAACAGACAATTAACAGACATTTCAGGACAGCATCCAAGATAAGTGGCAAGCGCTAATGAAGAAAAAGAATAGAAAAGCAATTTGAATATAGTTGGAAGTATGCAGAGAGAAGAACACTACTTTAAAAGGAAAATCTATTATTATCTTCATATAGATAACTGAAAAGAATTTCTGAAACAAAAATCAGGACTCCATTAAAAGTAACTCAGAGAGTACAGAAAATTGTTAACTGGCAGACACGACCACTGTGGAAACTAGTATGGGAGTTCCTGAAATAACTAAAACTTGGACTAGGATGATAGCTCAGTGGAAAACATATTTGCTTTGCAAGTATGAAGACCTGAGTTAGATAAACCAGGACCTGCGTTTAAAAAATTTACAAAGATGTGCATGGTGGGTGGCTTGCAGCATTTATCCCAACACTGAGGAGGGGATAGGCAGATCCATGATGCTTGGTGGCCACTTAGTCTACCCTACTTAGCTTTTTCCAAGCCAATCAAAGACTCTGTCTGAAAAAAAAAACCAAGATGGATGGCACCTAAAAAAATGACACTCACCCCAGGCACATATGTGCATGTATATTTATACATAAATATGCACACAGATGTACACGTGCATCTGCAAACACATGAAAATACACACATAGATATTGTTTTAAAAATTAAAAATAGAACTACCATACAACCCAGCTATGTCACTCCTAGGACTCTAAGTCAGCATACTAGTGTTGTAGAATAATCTTTGTGTACACCATGAAGATGTATCACTGCAATTGGTTTAATAAAAAGCTGAATGGTCAATACCTGGCAAGACTATGAGGGCAGAGAGAAGACTGGGAAGAAAAAGGTCAGAGTCACCAGCCAGATGCAGAACAAATAGGGTGGACACTACCAAGATGAGGTAATAAAGCAACAAGGCAGAAAGTAAATTAATAGAAATGGGTTAATTAAATTATGAGAGCTAGTTAGAAGCAAACCTAAGCAATCAGCCTAGCTTTCATAATTAATAATAATTATCTGTGTCATTATTGGGAAGCCACTGATCTGACTACAAAAGATGTCCAACATAGGAGCACATAATTCCACAGAAGACATGAGAAAGCTTTAAAAAATGATCAAACACACAAAAACTGCACCTTCCTAGTCCCAAGGTCTCTCATCCTTGTCGCAGTGTAGAGAGGCATGTCCCAGCCAGCCACTGTCTGTAAGCTTGAGTCACCAGCTTGCAATGAGCTAAGCTGCATGGCGGTTTAAGTTTTGTTCATGCAGAGAGTAAAGGTTACAGGTATGCAGTAAAAAAGATCCAGATAGAAAAAAAAACTCTAAACAGGTGATAATGTGTTTTAAAATGTGTGTAGGCTTAAAAAAAAGAAAATGGGTATAGGCAGTCATAGAAAAAATAATTTATTAGTAATAAGATAAGATAAAAATTTTGAAGAGAGAATAAAATTTAAAAAAAAAGGTCACATAGAAATGTGAAATACACAGGGAGTATCTGGGTCCTGTATGGTGATGTATTGACTTTAAATTTTTTTGATTAATGAGCAAACAATAGCTAATGAGAAACACTGGAGTATAAAACCTACTGAATTAAACCAATCTATATATTTCAAACATGTCTTACTTCAAAATGGAAGTTAAAAAGCAATATGTTACATTGGGGAAGAGGTTATGCTTTTGTTTCCACAGAAAACAAAACTTTGTGGATTTATTAAACATTGATAGAGATCAGATTTGATCAGGAGACGATCCCTAAAAATTCTGGCTACAGACATAGAGAAACCTTAAAATAAAAACTACAAGACAAGGGACATATATTTTACCTGCTCAACATAAAACAACAAAATCATCTCTAATTGGCTTGTGTACAATGCACAGTCCATACCTGTGTTAATGCAGGCATGCATGTTACCTTTGAATGTTTATGTGTTTTCAGAGAAAGGGAACTAAATACCAATGAAAACAAGTGGACCAGGTAATCCAGCCTCTATTGCAGTTTCCACAGAGTACTTCAACCAGAACAGTTTCAAAGCTGTTGGCTGAGATCGTCTAGCCTCACAGACTAATTCTAGCAAGGATTTGATCATTATCCTAATTTTCTCATGGTCCCTGAAAGATGGCAGAACCCCCAGACAACAAGAAGCAGTCTAGAGAAAACAATGCCCACATTCTCAATGGGTGGTTTTTGGTTGTTCAACAGAGGTTTGTCATCGATTAGGGAGGTTGGTCACAAGTTGTTATTGGTCACGGTCAGGGAGGATACTAAGCAAAGGAAATTAGATTAAGGGATCTCATTCTGAAAAAAACGGGGGATATAGGATGATAGGATAAAGGGGTAGATAGATTATTATATCTACTTTCAATTGAAAAAACAACTACTAGTGTTAAATATTTTACATTTGTATAGATTTTTGTACATTGATACAAATTTAAGGTTATTTTTTGTTAAATTGTATTTATGCTTCTACTCTTATTTAAAATATTTTTGTATATTGATATAAATTTAAGTTTTTTTAGAAGTTTTTATTTAAGATATTATACCTATGCCGCTTCATTTATAAATATAATGTAAAGTTCTAGTCCTTGAAAGAAACACAAGTTGAAGAAATGCAGGTTAGTAGTTATCTATAATAATCAAACTTATAGTCATGTTAGAGACATATTTTAAAAAGATAGTCTTCAAACATTTCAGAGACCAACAGAATATGGCACTTTAATGATTTAATAACATAAGGCTTTTCATGACAATGAGACATATCTGCTCCTGGCAGCACCAATCTACCTCATAGAAGATAATGCACATTGTAGTGCCTCCATATGGAATTTGCTTTCTGTATTACAAAAGCTAGCCACTGAACAAAAAAAACTGCCATTGTCTCATTTGCTGACAGTATACAGTTCAAATTGGATAAGCAGGACATAAAAGAAAGAATCTGTTGAACTTTGCCAAGAAAGGAGGGTGGAATGAGGGAATCAGTGGGGGCATGGTAGGATGAGAGGGAGAGGGAACTAGAATTGATATATAAAATAAGATTGTTTCTATTTTAAATAAAAAAAAAGAATATCCCGCTTCGCATAAAACGTCAGTAAGATATTCTGGGCCTATAGGCCAAAGATGGATGCCCCAATGTTGTGGAGGAGCTTTGGGTGACAGTCCAAGCAGCCAGATGCTTCTGTAACTTCTATAGTTTTGGAAGTTGTTTGCTCTGAAATTCCTGTTTACTCGAGTAATATTTTTTTTTTATTCTTCTTGGGTCTCTGATGGAGATTGAAGACTACTTACAGTTTTTTTTTTTTTTTTTTTTAGAGTATTTTTTATTTAATTTTATATAACAAAGTCCAATTAAATGAAAACAAACATTTATACACAATATTTGGGACTTTGGGCGTCGTTCTTTCCAAACTACTTCCTGCTGGTAAGGGGCGCTGTCTTGGGGGATTCGAAGAAGATTCAGATATCCTAGCGACTACTTACAGTTTTACAATTTTCCTTATTACCAAATTCAAAAATGAATACATAGGAGATGTAAGGTTTATAAAATTGAGATATAAAATTTTAAATTGTTTATCTGAAAAAATGTTTGATGTCTTAAAAAGTTAGTTTTAAAATGGTAATTCAAGTTGTAATAGAAAATGATTTAGGTATAAAATTTCAAATTCATTAAGATAGATAATAAAGTATTTTCTCCAAATATACCAAATACTAACATACGGGACATTTAAAATATAATTCTATGTAAAAATTGTTCTTATTGTATATAGTTTCATTTATTAAAGTTAATACTTTTTCTTTCTATTTAGACAGTACATGAGAGTTGTGGAATAATCGTTTTGTACACTGTAAAGATGCGTCACGCTAATTGGTTTAATAACAAGGTAAATGGCCAATAGCTAGGCAAGATTTTCAGGGCAGAGAGAATGCTGGAAAGAAGGGCAGAGTTGCCTGCCAGATGCAGAGCAAACAGGATGGGCACTATGGACATGAGGTAATGAAGTCACAAGGCAGAAAATAAATTTATAGGAATGGGTTAATTTAAGTTATAGGAGCTAGTTAGAAACAAGCCTAAGATATCAGCCAAGACTTCATAATTAATAAGAAGTCTATGTATACTGATTTGGGAGCTGGCAGGTGAGGCAAAGAACAAATGGTTAAATAAAAGAGAGATACTTGCACATCTATGTCTGCAGCATTATTCATAGCAGGGAAGATATGCAACCAGCCTAGACTGTCTTCAACATAGGGATAGATAATAATACTCTGGTGTTCATTGCAGTCTTGCTGAGCCATAATGAAGAATGAAATTATGTCATTTGCAAAGAGAATGGAGCTGGAACCACCATGTTAAGTAAAATAAGCCAGACTCAAAAAGAAATATAAAACCAAGAATATATATATATATATATATATATATATATATATTTGTGTGTGTTTGTGTGTATGTGTGTATGTATGTATGCATGTATGTAGAGAAATCATTTATATATAAAAAATGGACTATTTGAGAAAAGGGGACTAGGGAGATTTGCGCTATAACCAGAAAAGGTAATAGGAGGTGATAATGTTAAATACACTTGATATACTTAAATCAATGTTATAAAATACATCACCTTGCACAAAGACTATGACAATAAAATTTTAAGTTAAAAATATAATGGCAGAAATAAAACTCTATTAGAAAGAGGAGCACATAATTCCCAGAAAGCAGAGCAGAAAGAAAAAGATAACTATAGGACTAGTCCAGTACTCTAACAGCAGTATAACAATTCCAGAAAATGAAAAATTAGGTGTGTGTGGGGGGGGGGAAACTAGAGTAAATTTGGACTAGAGATTCCAGTTTCAGAGTGATCAGCAAGGGCCAGAGGACAACTCAGTTTTAGAATGCTTGCCTAGCATATAAAAGGCCCAACTGGAGTCTATGTATTTCTTCCAGAAGTCAGAAAAGAATGAAGTAGTATCTTCAAATTTCTGAGAATAGCCATTTCTTAGTTAGAATTCTATACTTAGCCACCTTAACATCCAAAGCATTAGAGTACAATGAAGACTCTTGCTCATACAAGTTCTTAAAAACATACGCAAACATATTACCAAACATGTGTACTTTTTAAATAAACTATTAGATTTATTCTACAAAATGCAGGATAAAACAATAAGAATGGCATGAGGCTGAAGAGATGGTTCAGCAGTTTATATCACTTGTTGCTTTTGCATAGGACACAGATTTAATTTTCAGCATTCACACAGCGGCTCACAACCATCTAAATGCCAGTGTCATGGGATCAACCACCCTATTCAGACTCCCAGAGGCACCAGATACACACGTAGTGTACATGCATACATATAAAGTTAAAGTTTGGAAAGAACAACGCCCAAATTCCCAAATATTGTCTCTAAATGTTTGTTTTCATTTAAATGGAGTTTGTTATAGAAAATAAATTTTAAAAAAATAATAATTATAAAATTCAAAAAAAAAAATAAAGTTAAATAAAACTTTTTCTAAAAAGACTTGGCATGACAGGCTACTCAAGAGACCAGTGAGAAGCACCCCAAATGATATGCAAGATCCTTAGATGACAGCTGTAAGCAGGTCAGAAAACTGTAAAAGGTATTTCTTGACAAAATTTAAACTCATCAAGTATAAGGAGGACAAATCTTTATGGTTCCTAAAATTGGAGGAGGTTGGGACAGAAAGAAAGCAAGGCATATAGAAAGTTAAATGAGTAAAAAGAAAATGGCAATAAAAACACGAGAAAAGGAAAAGCAACCATATTTTACTATATGAGTCATCTGCCCAGAGAAATTCCATTCTTAATAATTGAGTTAAATATAGCCAATCGATCTAACAAAAATATACTGGGAGCTTTAGAGAAAAAGAATTTCATGGGACCAGGAACAGTGAAAGAGACCTAAATCTTCATTTTCTAAAGCAGGAAAGAGAAAAACAAGCATGTTATTTGGAGATAGGGAGGCAAATACCAGAAGTGGCTAAAAGTGGTTGCCTCTGGGGAACAGCAAATATGTATTATATGCATAAATGTACTTATGTATGGACTTTGCTTGAGAGCAGAATTGCTATTTCACTTATATGCTTTGTAAATTAGTCAAAGCAGAAAATGAATTCATTAATGAGAAACATTCCAATATCTTCCAAAAAGAATGTGTTCAATACTCAAATGATTAATACCTGAAAAAAGGCACATTCTGAATACTTCCTCCAAATTAACTCTGATCTGGGTTTATTCTGACAGTATTTGGCATACATCTGAAAATCGTCCTTCTGCAATAAAGAACAAATGCAAATATATTACTAATTTACAAATATGAATTGTTTGTTTTGAAAAAAGCTGTGCAAGCGAGTGTGTGGCCAACCATGGCAGTGAATATGACGACAAAAAAAAAAAAAGTGCTTTGTGTTCCAAGGACAGCATGCCCATTGAGCCAAACAACAGGATACACCATTCTACAAGCAATGTCAGAACTCCTGCTTACCAGACTTGATAGGGAAAAAAAGCCTTGTTTTTTTAACTATTTATTATCATGATCTAATAGGGGCCAAACATGAGTTTTCTGTGCTACTAGTCTGTTAGCTGTCTAAATAAAGGAGCTTGCAGCTAGCTATCTTCCAGGTTAGGCATAGTCCTTGATCTATCACTGGGACATCATCATGTCTAAGTACACGGCTGCAGTTTGTTCTGCCTTGAATCATCTTTACCTAATCTCTATCTATTGATCTGTCTCCTACTCACACTTTAACCTTCACCTTGTGAGTCTCTTCTATATGACCACTGCTTATACCTTCAAGCTATGGACGATGCCCTTCTTTTCAGTGCCATAGGGCCCTTTGTATATCTCTAACGAAGTAGCATTAGAGGTCCTGTACTATTTAGGGTTTTTCTTTCTCTACACAGGACCTGGTAGACAGTAAATATTAAATAGATGGGTAATGAATGGACATATCATCAAGAAGCTTTTATCAAACCAGTACTACCACTACTAATGGACAAGAATTCTACCAACTTTGACAGGGACAAAGATACATAGGATATGTGACTTCATCAGGCTGGGAAATAATTTATGTACACATGTAAAGATGCACAGTAAATATAAAGTCTCCTATGAGTAGCATAGTGTTGGGTACTTTTAAGGATGGGATCTCCCTAATTAGTCCAGGATGGCCTGAGACTCACTGTCCTCCTGACCCCACCTCCTGAGCATACACACCATCATTGACTCCAAAGGGATAGTTGACCAACTGCTATCTGAAAACACTGAGGATGAATCTGTTCAAAGTTCAGATACTTTTAGGGTTAGAACATGTTGAGAAAGGTGGTGGCACACATTCTTAGTCCTATTCCCTTCTTGGTTCTCATTTTTCTTAGGGTTATTCTCTTCAACAATTTCTGAGATAAGACAGCTAGTGTAAATTTTCCACAACCTCTTTAATCCAACAAATTCCCAATCAGAAGAGGGTTGATTTTTCAGGAAGAGGAGAAACTGGATAACTAGATGAAGATTTTAAAAATTCTATTGCTACATAGTGAGACTCTGCTGTTTTGTTTTTTAAAACTGTATCCTTTATTCTAACTTTAACAAAGCTCAGAGTGATTTTATTAATATGCTCCTATCTCTCACATTTTCTTATCCAGGGTGGTCCCTGGATTTTTGAGATTTCCATTGCTACTACCTGACTAACTGAAACATTTAATATACAAAATGAAAGTATACCCTCAAATAATTTTTTTCCAACAAGATAGTTTTACATTAAGTACTTCCTAGAATCGATGTGTCTTCTCCAAAAACATAAAGTCATCAAAGGGAAGTGGGGGTATCTTGTCTTCAAGCCTGTTTCATATATGAGGTACTTTTGGGTGGCCAATATTTATATAATTTCAAAAAGAATCAGACTAACCCTTTTCAGGAAGCAAGGTCCAACTCTCTCTGGAGCATTAGAGCAATCTTCTAAGCTGCTCATGAAAATGCTGTGAAATTTGCAGAGAGAAAAAAAAGTTATTTATGACATAATAAGCCAAAGTAGCTCCTATTTCCCACTTGTCTGGCCTTGAACTCACAGAGATCCACCTGCCTCTGCCTCCCAAGTGCTGAGATTAAAGGTGTGCACCATCACACTTGGCAAAAACTCTTTTTGAAAAAAAAAAAAAACAAGTCACCAAAAGCTTCCCTTTGGCAATTACATACTTGTTATGAAATTCATATATTTCTGCCATATTTCCAAAGAGAACATCCTTTTTATTTCTCAGGAGAGGTGGCATAAGATCAAACATCTGTGGATTGTCCATCTCGGATCTGTAGCCCTATTAAAAATAAATAATTTTGCATTTTAAATATTTATATTAATGTTTGGCTGAGCCACTGATGGTATCAGTAGAGCAGAATGTATAGAAGAGTTGTGGGTACAGCTGTGTGAGTTTTAACATTTAAATCCCTTAGTTTTCAGCGGTTATCTGTGGCATTTTTTTTAGAATGCAGGGTAAGGCAGTCAAAACTTCCATTCCATGGCTAGAATAAAAAGGTAGCACTTTGGCCTTCAAGGCTTTTATTGTAGTGTGGAAACCAAACAAGCCAACTATGAAAAATTATAGCACAGAATATAAAGTTCTCCTTAAATTAAAAGGAAGTGCTTAGATTTCTGTTCAGACCAAATTAGTATCATGGCATTTGTGTCAAATGAGTATTTTTATCCCACCCTCAGTTTTTTCCATCTCAACCTCTAAGTAGCAGCCTGGGAATAATTATAACAATGCACCATGTCCCTAAGAGAACAGCTTCTTTTTTCTATAAGAAATTCTGAATCACGTATTCCCACTACTGAAAGGGAATATAAATGCAATCATTCACAAATAACAGCAAATACCCACTGCTACCATGGGACAACCAAGGACAGAGACAAACAAAAAACTGCTTAGAACACTTTCTAATGAAAGTAGCCAGGGACAAGTCAAGAGAATGGGGAAAAACAGTTTGCTACACTTACCAACAAAACAGTAAACAGCTCTCGAACATATGCCTTTTCTGTCTGTATCAGCTCATTCAGGACATGGCTACAATGAACAGACCATAGTTACCAGTTAATGCCCTATTCACATATCACAGTACAATGGTTCTGTTACTACCATCACAAACAATCGAAAGCAAAATAAGCTAATCTAGTGGAAGTACCTAGCATCAGAATATGAAGCTTATTTTACAGTTGTTGGAATAAGTACCACCCAGAAGGCTGGTGGTGGCGCACACCTTTATTCCCAGCACTCAGGAGGCAGAGGCATTAGGATCTCTGAGTTCAAAACTAACTTGCATTCTAGGCCAGCCAGGGCTAAATATCAAGACTCTGTCTGCTGGGGGGAAAAAAGAGACATGTTCGAAGGCCGTGTGTTAACATAAAAATGACTTCTAATTCACTTAGACTAAGAATAAATTTACTAAAATCTCACAAAACCTGTTTGAGAATAGAAGCCAGGTTTTGATCATTCTGAACAGCTTAATTTGCTGAGGTCTAGAATCATCTCCTCTGCAAGAAGAAACACTAGAAAAGCACGTTCAACACTACCCAGTTTCCAGAAACTTAATGATTTTTTTTTCTCGGACATGTGCTAAACTCATGACATTCATCATTACATGGGATAGGAGTAAAACTTAAGGTTCACAGCACATTGTCTGCCATCTGTATGAACCAGAATACATGTCCTTCCCATTGATTTCCAACTTACATATTTAAAGTTTATTCCCCTCTGGTAATATAACCAACTGATTTAAACTCTTGGTACATTTCTTCATTTCTTTTCATACTTTAAGGAACTTAGACCCTGTTTTTTATCCAAAATAAGTCATTTGAATTATGCTAATAATCGTGGGATACATATATATCTCGATGCAATTTTATGCAAATGACTGGCTATTTCTAACACCAAAATATGAAACTTTATTTCCTTTGTTTTTTGTTTTGTTTTGCTTTTTAGGCAGATCCCACTATGTACCTTTGGCTGTCCTGGAGCTATATAGACCAAGCTAGCTTCAAACTCAGAAATTCACCGGCCTCTGCCCCCACCCCTAACGTCTGGGACTAAAGGATTAACCTCCAGGCCCACCTCATGATAACTCACAGGTAAGTATTTTCAAGTTTAGAATATTAACATAAGACTATAAAGCATATAAAGGGTCTTGTTAATACCTATGGAGTTGTATCTATAATCCGGTATAGCTTTTGGCAAACAACTTTACTGATTTTTCATTTCTTTTAAAATGAAATAAATTGTGTCACAGTTTTAACTGTCAACTTGACACAAAACTACAATAGCCTGGGAAAAGGAACCATCTAGTGAATAATTGCCCAGTCTGGTTGGAGTGTAGATAAGTCAGTGGGGCATTTTTTCAATTGATGTATGAGGGCTCAGCCCACTCCGGTGGTACCACCCCCTGGGCAGGTAGTCGTAGACTGTATAAGAAAGAAACTTAGCAAGCTATGGAGAAAAAGTGAGTAAGCATCACCCCTCAATGGCCTCTGCTTAGTTCCTACCTCCAGATGTCTACCCTAACTTCCTCTCATGATAGTGTGTGATCTAAAAATATAAGCCTAACCAACCACTTCCTCCCCAAATTGCTTTTGGTTTTTATCACAACAACAGAAACCAAACTAGAACAGATGGTATGTTCCAAGGGTACAAACTTTCATTTACTAGTTGAATCATTCTGGGAATCTAATGTACAGCATGGTTACTATCACTACTATCATTAATGAAGTATCTTATACATAGGAAATACGCTTAAACACCATGTTCTTACAACAAAAAAGGCAACTGTCAGTGTTAACTAACTTGCTATAGTAACCATCTTACCATATGTATATAAATGAAAATGAACACATTTAGGATATATGATGTGGTGTGTGTGTGTGTGTGTGTGTGTGTGTGTGTGTGTGTGTGTGTGTGATTTCAATAAAACTGGGAAACACAGAATTTGGAAAGATAGCTCAGTGCTTAAGATACATGCTGCTCTCACAGAAGACCCAGGTATGGTTACCAGGGCCCACATAGAGGCTTACTGCAGGTCCAGGAGCTCTAATCTCCTGTTCTGCCTCCCTGGGCACCAAGCACAGACAGGAAACAGACATGCAGGCAAAACACTCACTCACACACACACACACACACACACACACAATATAAATAAATAAAATAGTGGGCAGATAGACGATAGATAGACGATAGATAGATAGGTAGGTAGGTAGGTAGGTAGGTAGGTGACTGTGATGTGGCTCAGTGGCAGAAGACAATCCTCAGCACTACCAAATAAAAGTTCTCAACTCCTCAAACAGGTCACAGCTGCTCAAACCTGAATCACTAGAACCCGATTTGGCAAACTGATAATTCTAAACACTTGGACACTGAACCAGAGTCTCCTGTGGAGATATATATATATATATATATATATATATATATATATATATATATATATATATATATTAATGTAGGTTGAAAAAAAGAAAGAATACTTCTTTAAAACATCCAAGCTATTGTCCAATCCAGGAGGCTGATCAGAATTCCTCTTCTCTTGGCTATCTCGAATGATTTCAATCTGAAATAATAAAAATAAAAGTTCAATCATGTCAAATGCATCCATTATCAAATTAACTTTATTCCTGATCTTGAAGATAAACTGATGTAAAACACTGTATTTTTCCAAAAATGACTTGGATGTATACTAGCGAAATAAATTCTTCGAGATATCCAAGGGATTTAGTTTGAATACTTCTATTTACATCAACAAAGGCCACTTGTTAGTATTCTGTAATGATAATATAAACAAGTTTGAGCAACAGTATATGCCACACATAGTGAACTAAGAGCTTCACAAATGTTATTTGCTTTTTATACTAACTTCATGTGCCCTATTAATAAATATGAGACTAAGAAGATTTACCAGAGATTATACCATCAATAAGTGAGGATCTGCCATTAAAAGCCATGCAGTCCAGTTTGTACTATAATACTGCAATGCCTCTTAGTGATACATTCTTGGTACCACTTAACACACACGTAATACATATGGTCCTGCAGCTATGAGGTGCTACTCTGCATATATCAGCCTATCACAGATAACTGATAAGAACAAAATCTTAGACATGTGCACTTCCTACTACTTATTCTCCAAGGATACACCCCAGGACCCTCAGTGGATGCCTGAAGCTGTGTGCAGTACTGAATCTTCTATGTACTACACTTTCCTGTATATACGTAAGCATGATTAAAAAAAGTCTTTTTATAAATTAGGCACAGTAAGAGATTAACAATAATAATGCATAATAAAATGTCTCTCATAATGAAGTGTGATATATTTATATGTCTTTCTTCCCTCTTTTTCTCTAGAATATGTCCATTTAATATTTTGAACCATCACTGACCATAGGAAACCAAGACTGTGGAAACTGAAAAAGGGGGGAGTACTACACACATCAAAAAAAATAAAAAAATAAAAAAGATGCTGGTCATGGTAGTGTATGACTTTAACCCCAGTTCTCGGAAGCAGAAGCAGGGAGTCATCTATGAATTCGAAACCAGCCTAGTCTACATATTGAGCTCCAGAACAGCTCAAAATAAGGAAGGAAGGAAGTCAGGGAGTCAGGGAGGGAGGGAGGGAGGGAGGGAGGGAGGGAGGGAGGGAGGGAGGGAGGGAGGGAGGGAGGGAGGGAAGGAGGGAGGTTGGGGAGAAAGAGAAAATAAAAAGGAAACAAATGAATGCATTTCCTGCATCCCGAGTCAGACTCTACATAGTCTATACCAAACTGGACTCTATCCTTCATCCTTGCAGTGCTACAGTCATTCATGAAAGAAAGCACATGTCTAGAGAGATGAAGCACTGTTTCGGTATGTAGAGGAGGTGGGCAGCATGAAGAACTGGAACTGAAATGATTCAGAACTTGAGCCAGGACTTTAAAAAAAAAAAAAAAAAAACTGCTCACACGCTCACACACTGGAACTATGCCAAGACTGCAATTAAACAAAAAGCAGTTTTTTTTTCTTGTTATGTGTAGGTTTTCAACTGTACAAGGTCAGTATAATGAATGAAAAACATGCCTGAAATCCCCACACTCACTTTCCAATTATAGCAGCACAGACAACTTTGAATTCATTAATCAATTACACTTACTTTCACTTTGCTCTGTGTTTGAGTCTGTCTCCAAGACTTCTTCACTAATAGAGAAATGTGAAATAATGTCAGACCAGAATTAAAGTTAACACTTTCAATGAAAACCTGTGCATATTTACTAAAAAGAAAGCTAATGCTTCAATACATTTGTCAGTACTTTGAATCACTCTACAGAAGACAGCAATTGGTTAGATGTCCATTTAAATCCAACTTGTTATGCAACATGATTTTGCTATGTACTACCCATTTTCTCAATAACCACACATTCAATTATTTGCCAAAAGAAAGGGGTATGAAGTGTTCCCAATTATGTTCATACTTAGTATACATTCTGCCACATAAACATTCCATCACATTGTAGTTCACTCACTAACTGGATCAAAGATTTCTTTGAATCTAGCCCTACATGTATGAGACTAGGGAAGACAAGGGAAGGCAGTTGGGGAGAGTAATTAAAAGAACAAATTCTGGGGCTAGCAAGATAGTTCATAACTAAAAAGTGTTTACTGCTAACCCTGATAAGCTGTTTGCTCCCCAAGACCCATATGGTGGACAGTGAGAAGCAAGCCCAGCAAATTGTCCTCTGACCTCCATATATGTACAGTTACACACATACAAACACAAATACAAATAACAACAAATTATGTATAAAAATGCCATAATGAAAATCATTGCTTTATATAGAAACTTGAAAATTAATAACAAAAAAAAAATCCAAGTTTAACCTAGTAATTATAGCATCCACCATTTATTTGGCATTTACTCCAACCAGGTCCTTACCCAATGATATGTTTTCTTTTTCATTCTCAAATCTACACTAAGAAATGGAGAATAGTGTCTATCTCATCTTTCAGATATTTATTGATGTTTATTTCATAAGGATCAGGAGAAACAAATAGGCTGAATAGATGTTTATTCAAGGAGAAATAACTCATAACATAGAGAGGTGAACACCAGCAGGTTTCTGGACCCAAGGATGCCTCCCGATGTGATCCTGTCCCTGTGCTGCAAGCAAGAGAGAGCTCTCTGAGCCCCCTCCTCAGCCTTAGTTCCTCCAGATCAGGTCCAGCCCCCAATGGGCGTGGTCTATGCCACAGGTGCGGACAAAGGTGAATATCTCACTACAGATATCACTAAGGTTAATGCCTTGTTCAGGAAGTGGGCATGGTATTTAAAGCCATACATGTTTCTAATCACTACATAAAACATTTCCCAAACAACTGGTAAAATGATAATTAAAAAAAATCAAAATTCAAAGTTTTAATCTTTATTTTTATACAGTAAATTTCCAGCACTGGGGAAAACCAGGGTAGAGGGTGAACTGGGAGTATAGCTCAGTGGTAGAACACTTGTTTAGCATGTGTTCAATTTCCAGCAATGAAAACATGATTTTCACAGAAACAAGCAAGTAAAGGGCACGGACAAATCAAGGAACATATGAATCACGAAGGCTGCTATCTGTCTAGGGCACAGTCAATACTGACTTCAGCATGGAAGATACAAACCTTTTATCCTCCTGTCCTTGGCAAAAGCTAGTGTCAGGTACTCAGGAAGTGGATGGTCTTTCATAGTCTATAAACTGTATACTTCACTGCCATTCATTAACAAGTATTGGCATGCGAAAGTTATATGTATCTATACATTAGACTTAGTGCGAGTTACCATATAAATCAGTTTCATAATAAGTACTGGTAATGCTTCACTTTAAAGCTGTTTATCATACAAAGATCTAAACTTATTCCTAAAGGTAAATTATGATTTATCTGCAATCACATAGAGGGATACCAAAAGGAATATGTATGTATCTACATAACACATCTTTTTCTGAAAAGTGAGATAAGTATACCCTTTCTTTCAACAACATACGGACATACAAAATGGCTGAGCAGCCATGTGATATGACAAGCCACTTCTATGTTTGGGGTTATGCAAAGATGACTTGCACACAGATCCTGTCCTTGCAGAGCATCCTGTCTAGCAAGTGCAATAGGTAAATAGGCTGTAGCTGAGAAGAAATACGAAGCTTGCAGTTACATAGGATGAACACCTTACTGAGCAAGGCTACAGGAGAATAGCAGAGGACAGAGAGAAGCTTGTCTAGAGGAGGAACCCTAGGGATAGGAGCTAGCAATGAAGGAGGCAATGGAGCAGTCGGAGAAAAGCAGTCCAGTGAAACAGCAATTTACAAAAACTTCACAAGGTAAGAGAAAAGGACGCAAGGCAAGGAGATTGTGGCAATGGGAGCCAACAAGACTATTGTTAAAGCCACAGATGATGACGGGAATAACTAAATGCATAGAAGGCATGTGTAGCAACGAAAACAATGAATGGTACAGGAGTGAGCAAAAAGAACTAAAGTGAACCAATGAGGACATCATAGTACCTGTCAACAAGAAGAAGAGTTTTACAGACTCTGCAGAAGAGATATGTTCGCGTCGCGAATGGTGAGACTGTTTCCTATGTGAAATTCCCTGTTGTAAATACCAGTCTGAGGCTTAGGTGATAGACCTAGACTATAACTAGAGCTTTCCGAGCCCAGCCATATCTTACACTTTATTTCTTACTGGCACTGCCCTTTTATAACTTCCCTCTGTTCTCAAGGAAATTCATCAAACATCTTATCACATCCATCTGGTTTCCAGGCACTATGGTAGGTGGAAGATTCAGTTGGATAAAAAGGAAAAAAAGAAAAAGGAAAAAAAAAAAGCCAAACAAACAAAAATGGAATAAAAAACCAGTTTGACTCATTTTGATGAAAAGAATTAGCACACAATTTTATTTGGTCTAATACTTGGCTTACCAATTCCAAGTTTTGAAAACTTGTCTGAAATCTGTTATAACCTGCATTATCCACAGATCAATAGGGTACTGTGCAGAAGATTCAGAGCTTAAATAGTGACTTGGTTTCATTTACAAACCATGATGGATGGTGAAGAAAATCGTCTATTCTAACCATTTATTAATTAGGGTACCTACTTCCTCATAAATATGCTAGGTGGTCTTAAGCTGAACCAAATCCAAGCTATACCCAACAAATATTTGGGTTATTAGTGGTGTGAGAATCTTTAAAGTGAAGAAAGCCCTGATTTACATTAATTTTTTTAACTAAGCTTTGCTTTTTAAAGATACATTTCATTTATTTTGAATTACGTTTATGTGGGTATGGGATAGGGAGGTGGGTATATAGGTGCCCACAGAGCCAGAAGAGGGCATTAGATCCCCTGGAATTACAGGTTGTTGTGAGCTACCATGTGGGTGCTGGGAATTGAACCGAGGTCCTCTGGAAGAACAGGGAGTGCTCTAGCCACTGAGCCATCTCTCCTGCCTCTCCTTTCTTTTGTTAAGGGGTTGTTTTATGAAAGGAAATTGACTTTAGAAACATAGTCTATTCTTTACACAGTCATTTTACAAGGTAAGTTCAATGTTGAAAGAGAATAATGGATTGTTGTTATGAAAAAATAGTTAAAGCTATTTGAAGGTAGAAATCATGAATGAACTGCTGCTGTTTTGGGGTGCCAAACTGGTTTTTCATGTATACAAACTCATAAACTGTATTGATGACAAGTAATATAATAAAGATGGGTACCTTTTGAAAAAAGTTTACATGCTTGAAAGAAAGAATATCCAACTCCCACTGCAGAAAGAAAGTGTAACGCCATTAAATAAGAATACCGGAAAGAAAGAAAAATGAAATAATACAAAACAAATTTATCTTTGAATGACTAATGACATGAATGGGTCTTGGACAGCCTGGTCACAAGTTAAAGTGCTCTGTTTCAGGGAGACTTAGGCTTTGGGGGGCTCTATTAAGAAAGGAGATTTAATCAGAGGGAAGGGATAGTCCAATTCATTGAGTAATTCTTATTTTCTGCAATTCTGTTTCATTTTCTCTTTAGAATCATCTTTTAAGTCAGAAGATATTTGTTCCTACTTTACAGACAAGGAAACTGAAGTTATCAGTGGGTAACTGTGTAAGGTCAACAGCTAAAGTATCCAGAAATCTAACCAATGTCTGCTTTATGCTTAGAAATATCAATTGTTAAGTTTAACCAGTTCATGTTGCTACTGTTATTCCTTTTATCTTTTACAGTAACTTTGATTTCTCCAGGATTTTAGAATATTTTTAATATAGTCAACGTTATTCATTTACACCATTGCTCACACAGTCTTATTTTCAGTATATGTATACATTTTGGAATTACTAACCATGTAACTTTGATTGTATTTGTAACTTGACCCATGCTGGAGATGATCTGTAATTTATTCATCATCGATGGCTCAAGCCTTCTCTGCATTTCAAAGCACTAATAAAGTGACTGATTTAATTTAGGTCAGAGACTGAATTTAGTCATATGGTCTAAAACTGTTCTCTCCCCAAAAGTTGCAGCGGCAGCTCTAGGAAACCCTTGAGGGAGTAATTCTTATATTCAGATTAGTTCAACACCATTACAAGAATTATTATTTTCCTGTAGAACTTAGAAGGAATGGGATAGTCTACAATTAAATAGACTTCAAAGATTAAAACAAGAAAATAGAATCTGTAACAAGAAATTACTAACACAAATAACATTTACCAGCATCTATTCAGAAAAAAATCAATCCTCTCGAATAGTCGATATAGATCAGACACTCATACAGGCATCGTAGAAGAACCAAATAATAGCTTACTGGAGTAACAATGAGTATGTATGCATATACCTATGTCCTTTTCTCTGACTACCTACTGAAGAAAGATGAAAGTCTGATGCTGGAAAGTGATCAGACTCATCTCAAGCTAGAATACCTCATGCTGAGGTGTCCATCATCTGACACAATTCAGTGTTACTACTGTAGTTTATGAACATAAAGGGATCTCATTCTGACTTTTGTCTTGTACATCAGCATTTAAACATACATAAAGAGGCTAAAAGGCTTAAAATTTATCATGATTGAAAATATAATTTAGAGATATATCAAATGCATCCAAGGAAAAAATAGCAAGAGAAAAACAAAATAGCACATGTGAAAACAAGCTACATTACCATGTTTAGGTGAGAAAAACATTGCTTTGGATTTTATCAAATTTTCAGGTGCAGGCATCACAAACTGGACTGGTTTCTCAGGTTTATCTTTTGGGTTCTTAGAACCAGCCTGTTGGTTCTGAAATATGCTTCGAATGTTTTCAAGCTTGAGTTGTACAGTCTGCATCTGAGCCTACAGATTACATAAGAATTCTATCAGCCGGGGGTGGAGAGATGGTTTAGCAGTTAAGAACACTGGCTGCTTTTGAAGAGGACCTGAGTTCAATTCCCAACATCTATCTATATGACCACCCAGAACCATCTGTAATCCTAGTTTTTGGATTATCCAATATTTCTACCTTTTGTAGGCACCATGCCTTGCCCATAGTATAATATATACATACATGCAGTTGAAACACTTATGTACATAAAATTAAATATAAAATCATATTAACTGCTTGGCATAATAGAGCACATCCTTAATTTCTGCACTGAGTAGACAGAGGCAAGTGGGTCTCTGTGAGTTCAATGCCACCCTAGGGTTACACAGCTAGTTCCAAGTTAGCCAAGGCTACATAACCAGACTTGTCTCAAAAACATGAAATGGGAAGAAAAGAGTCATAACAACTACTATTAAATTCTTCAGATACAGTTTAAAAATTTGAATTTCAGGACTGGAGAAATGGCTTAGTCAGTAAACTGCCTGCTACATGACCATGAAAACCAAAGTTCAGTTCACAAGCAGCCATATAAAATCCAGGCATGGCAGGAACATCTGTCATCTCGGTACTGGGAGAGCAGAGACAGGAGGATCCCTGGAGCTCAGTGGCAAGCCAATCTAACTGGGTCAATGAGCGCTCTAAGTTCATTGGAAACTGTCTCAAAATAGTGACTCAAAAAGATCCTGAAAGGCAACCATTGGCTCCCACCAGCATGCATACATGTATACACCCACATAAACATGTAGATATGCTACATACCAAATACACAAATATGTAAGTATCAAAGTGATATATCTTCAGATTATAGTGTGGTAGAAGAAAAATTTAATTGCTATTTGTGCACTACAGAAATGGTTCACTGGGTAAAGAACTTTCCACGCAAGTATAAGGTCCTGACTTTGCATCCCAAGAACCCACATACAGTATCTCTGGCCTCTGTATACATATGTATACATACATACATATAAACATATAACACAAACACAGAAACAACTTATTTTGACCTTAAAATATAACCAGAACAAAATTAGGAAAGAAACAGAACAAATTAGTACATTCTCTACATAAGTATAAAACCAAAGTCCCAATGTAATGTATCAATCATAAATCATCAAAACACTCTACTCCAATTAGGGGACTTTCTGAGGATAGTGAAAAAAAGGTATGAGAACGCCCACAACATGGAGCTCACGATAACTGCACGGACGCAGCCAACACTTCCTTTTCCTAGAAGACACCAGAATGGCTGACGTGGAGCAGAAGTAGCAGACCTTCCAGAAATTCTCCTAACACAGCTTGGGCCTGGACCAACTTCTGGACATATCCTATGAGTGCCCAACACAGGCAATGCTAATCAAGTGCCCGAAAAAGAGTTAGAAACAGGTGCTGCCCGTGGAGAAGCCCAAGGTGGTGAAGACCCACCTGAGGGACATAGTCATCCTGCCCGAGATGGTAGGCAGCATGGGGGCCATGTACAATGGCAAGACCTCAACCAGGTGGAGATCAAGCCAGAGATGATCGCCCCTACCCACTGCCAAAAAGCTTACAGCAAGGTGAAGAACTTAAAAATCAGAGTCAGACTGAATGTAGTGGCACACACCTTTAGGAGTTCCAGGCTTACCAAGACTATACAATGAAACCCTGTCTCAAATGACCAAATTTAATAATAATAATAATAATAATAGTGGATTCAGAGCTCATTGTGAAAGTTAACATATGCCTGTGGATTCTTTGATACTTGCTAATGGCATTACTATTACCCCTTAATCCTCAAGAGGACTGTGTATATACACACTGATTTAAAGTTGGCAATGGGGTAGTAAAACTCTTAACCATGGTAATTTTTTTGTGTCTTTGAATAAAATGTTTTTCACCTTGAGTTCAGGAGACAGGAGTACATCAAATTCATATTGCAGATTCTCAATATCATAATTGATAAAGGGCATAGCCATTTGAAGGAAATTTTCCACATCCTGAAGGGCTTTCTTAGCATCTTCTTTAGTCTGGAATTTATCCATTCCCTGATTGGCCAGGAGGCATTCTCCTTGATCACAGCACTGACGTGCCTGATAAAGAAAATCGGGAAAATCAAAGCAGCGAAGATCAGAATGGATAAAGAGGACATAGGTTTGCCATTAAACAAACTCTCTCTTATTTATTATTACATCTTGGTGGGGGGAGGGGGATGCGGGTGGGTGTACAAAGCACACTCATGCCATAATATCCATGTAGAAGTCAGAGGACAAATTGGTGACAATCAGTTCTCTCCTTTCAGCATGAGACCCTTTGGATTAAACACTGGTTATAATGATTGTCAGCAAGTGGCCACCATCTTGTGGGATAGAACCTGTCTCACTTTTGCCAATAAAAATTGATTTCAGAGGCCAGCTTTAGTGACCCACACCTTTAGTCCCAGCACTCAGGAAGCCAGCCTGGTCTAGATAGCAAGTTCCTAGCCAGCCAGAACTACATAGTGACACTCTGTCACCATTTAAAAAAAGAAAGAACGAAAGAAAGAAAGAGAGAGAGAGTGAGAGAGGGAGGGAGGAAGGAAAGGAAGGAAGGAAGGAAGGAAGAAAAAAGAGAAGAAGAAAAAATTGCTCTCAGAGCAGGTAATAAATGGTATCTGGTGTTACCCCTAGAAATTCTGATTCAGTAGCTCTGGGCTGCCAGCCAGACATTTATATGTTAAATCGCTGCACAGGTATGGCTGATGCATAGCCAAGATTGGGAAGCACTGCATTTGTTTCATAACAAGTAATTTCTTTTGCAGTAGGGGTCTGACCATTTTCTCAACACCGTTCAGTTGCATGTAATTTCCTACAAATCAGTAACTGGAATATGAAACTCCTAGCAAAATATAAAGTATAATAATACCAATGCCTAACAATTGCCAAGGACAAAAATAAAGGGTAGTTTTTTTGTTTTGTTTTGTTTGTTTTTGTTTTGTTTTGTTTTGTTTTTGAACCAGAATAAGAGATGTGAAGATCAGTATGCTATGTTCAGATGTGATGTTGACAAACGGCACTCCTGTTTAAATTCTGAGGCCATGACCAGATCTGTAGGGTGGCCATTTCATTCACTACTTAATCACAAAATAGGGCTGACCCACAGGCATGGCAGAAGATTTTTCAGTCACCAGCTAATTTTTAGTACTGCACTATGAAATGTGCAGGGAATTTCAGGCTTCTGCAAAATGTCCCCTAGGCTTTTAAGTTCTCTGACTGCAGAATATCACCAGGTTTCAGAGACAGACTTAAAATAGAAAGGAAGCCATCACTGCCACAGTCTCCACATTGAGAACAGAGCAAAATTGGTACTATACTGAATCTGCCATGAATAGTACACAGGGAGATAGACTGAACAACCACAAAGAGGCTCCGTCCTTAAGACCTCTTGCAAATTTAAACACAAAGCTATAGACCTGACTCCTTGACCTCTAAAAGGATAAGAGATACTGTAAAGCATATGGCCAAGTATCTGAGATAAAAGGTGCACCATAAGGCATATGGGCAAGAATTCGAAGAAGATTAGGGAATCCAAGAAGAGAAAATAATGACCTTTATCAGAAATGGCTCATTTCCCATCATATTACCTGCTGTAGGAGTTTGTGAATTTTGAAAGTTCTGCTCAGCTCTATCCGCTTTGCCCTGATCTCACTAACCAAAATATCAGAAAGGTAGCGTAGCTCATTGCACCTCTGGCAGATTAAATCAAGTGCATAGTGGTGATTCGATGCAAGCTTGTGGCCATGTAGTATCACAAGTCGGGCCTTGGGTAACAGCTCCTGATTTGAAAGAGGAAAAATCATGACTGCTCATCTCTACTCATATAGCAGGGGTGGGGGAGTGAGAAAAAGATCATTAAAGAATAAGTTTGCAGGGGAAATAAATGGTCATAAAGCATGATTGCACATCATTTTCCTGCATTCAAGAAAAGAAAACGCGCACACACACACACACACACACACACACACACACACACACACACAAATCTTATAGTGATAATGTTTAGCTACAGCAGTTGTTATATCAACCATCAGAAACTCATGCATTTCTGGATATAAAATGAAAGTCAACTACCCTATTCCACTCAGGATATAAGGATTGCCTTCTAGTGTGCACAGATGTACAACAGAAACACACACAGCACTCAGCATAAAGTAAACACCAGTCAAATGGAAGCTAACACATTTCAACCTGAAGTTGCTCTTCACCTGCATTCTTTTGACACACCAAAAGTGAATAACAGAAGGAATTCCCTAGGCTTTACCTCCATTCTATCAACTACTGACTCTCATAGTACAGTGGCTTACTCACATACTATGGTGATATAGTACAGTAGGAACATAGATAATGCTTCCCAAAGCAAAATAAGGCAAACTGAAGCCCAGGTGAGGTAGCGAATGGCCTGCCTGGCTATTGAGAAATCTACAATTAAAATAGAGTTGCTTTTTAAATGGGGTAGTCTCTATTACATAAAACACTACTTTTCTAATTAGCTTTTATTGCCAACTTAACACAGTCTAGAGCAGTGGTTCTTAACCTGTGGGTCACAACCCCTCTATGGGGGGGACAAACGACCCTTTAACAAGACTTGCTGAAGACAGTTGGAAAACAGATATTTACATTGTTATTCATAACTGTTATGAAGTTGCAATGAAAATAATTTTGTGATTGGGGGACACCAGAACATGAAGAATTATATTTGATGGGGAATATTCTTCTGTATATATGTCTCTCTTATTAGTTAATGAATAAAACACTGATTGGCTGGCTGGCCAGACAGGAAGTGACATGGCTGTGCAGAAACTTGCCACTAGCTAACCATAGAGGTCTGGAGGTCTGCAGAGACAGACAGAAAGTAATGTTGTTTCTAGGCAGAACGAGGATATAAGCAGGGACAAACAGGAAATAATGCTCTTCTCTGTGGAGACGCTTAGCAGTCACCATGTGAGTTGCCAAATGAGTTAGAAGTACAGACTCTTCTCTGGTAAGGTAAGACCATGTGGAAAAACATAGATTAATAGATATGGGTTAATAATTAGTACAAAGCTAGCCAATAAGAAACTCTAGTCACCAGCTAATAATTTTATAACAATATAGCATATGCATATTTATTTGGTGCTCATGGGCCAGAAAGTTTACATTACAATATAGCAACTGTGTGTTTATTTGCAGTTAAGGCAGCTGAGGAGCCTGGACAAAGAACCTCATGTTATATATATTAAAGGGACACAGCATTAAGAAAGTTGAGAACCACTGAACTAGAATGAACTAAAAGCCTCAATGGAGGACTTTCCCAGGTAAGATTGGCCTCTGGGCATGTTTGTGAAGGACTGTCTTGATTACTAATTGACTTAGGAAGATCCAGCCCACTGTGAGCAGCACCATCCTTAGGCAGGAGGTCTCAAGCTATATAAAAAATCTAGCTGAGCATGAGCCAGTGAGGAAGCTAGAAAGCAACATTCTTCCATGGCATTTTCTTAGGGTTCTTGCCCTGGTCACCCTTAAAGATGGACTGTGACCTGGAACTTTAAGCCAAATAAACATTTTCTACCACAGAGTTGCATTTGTTCAGAGTTGTTTTTGTTGTTGTTGTTGATTTTGGCTTTTTGAGGCAGGGTTTCTCTATGCAGCGTTGACGATCCTGTAACTCACTGTGTACATGAGGCTGGCCTCGAACTCACAGACATCTAGCTGCTTCTGCCTCCAAAGTACTGGGATTAAAGGCATGCACCACCACCAGGCTGTTCAGAGTATTTTATCACAGCAATGGGAAGGAAACTAGAACTACTATTGAACTGAATGCTTAAAATGGCAAGTTCTGTGTCATACATTTTAAATCACTTTGGAAAACAAAAATATTAAAAACAAACAAAGCCCTTGCTTCCAAGTCAGTTTGCCTTCTCTTTCCACTATGACTGTGACAGGGAGATGTCAAGTGCAGAACAATCTGAGGTCTACCAGCCTAATACCTTCATTGGTTACTGCAACTACTGGCCCTCAACTGTCATTCACATATACTTGTGATTCAATCATGAGTTCATTTTCTAAGAATATAGCTGTAAAAACACTGCTTTGCTGTCATATACAAGGCAGTAGAGCAAAGGCAGTTTACTAAGTATTAAAGTTCTGAATCTAATTCTAAATAACCAGGAATGCTAACAACTGCTTTTCCTTTGACTATATACTACATATCCAGGGCTATGCGAAGCATTACCTATACAGCTAAATAAATCCTCACCTATCACTCTACAAAGTAGGTCATTTTACGCCCAAGCCCCAGAAAAAGGACATTGAGGCTTAGAAATCAATTTACGAAAGGTTCAACAGCTAGTCAGACCAAATAGAGCTGTCTATGTGGATCTATGGTTGATTCAACTGCATATATCATATAAAGGACATGAGACTACCCATGACCTTATATTATCTCATAATTTCCTGATACCAAATAACTTCTTTTGGGGAGACAGGGTCTCATGTGTAATAGGCCGACCTAGAACTTGCTATGTATCTGAGGCCCTATTATATATCATTCTTGGTAGACTTTTTGCTTAACATTTTCATTATAGATACTACAACTTACATAATTGAAGCACCTGCAATGTTATCCTTGGGCCACACTTCAAATGGATTGAGGCTAGCATCGTTGTTTTAATTATATAGTTATGATAGGTTAAGTATAATAAGCACTTATACTAAACCCCAGTGAAGCATAAGCAGAGAAAATAGTAAATTGTAATCTTACCTGAGATTTTTCATCCAAGTTCTCTATTTTTTTAAGTCTTTGTTTTACTTGAGCTAAGTTCCCTGTTGCATCACTCAGTTCTTTTTGTTGACTTAATAACAATTCAATTTGAGTCATAACCTAAAAGCAAGAAATAAAGATTTTAAAAGCATGTGAATTATTAAGAATTCGCTGTTATGCTTAGTCTTGCTGCAGCTTAATATTCTGTGTTTCATTGATACTCATAGGAGACCTGCCCTTTGCTGAATGGAGGTGGAAGAGGAGGGGTTTGGGGGTGGGAGGGTAATGAGGGAGGATGAGGGGGAAGGCCTCAGCCAGGATGTAAAATAAATAGATGAATTTAAAAAAGAGGGAAAAAAAGAATTCACCTTTAGTGATGATCGCACTGACATAATAAATGCTATTAAATAAGAATGACAATATGAGAAAATTACACATACACAAAATATGGGCAGCTATTTTACTCACAGAAATAATTTTAATCTGTTAAAAAACAGCTTCTTCGATATCCACGCACACTTAATGATTTATAAAAGATCCCTGTGTACCTGTGCTGTCATATATATGTAGACATACTTGCATAAATCTATGTACATGCACATATACATGCATGCATACACATGCATGTTTTCCCCAGATATGTAGAAATTGGTCTTGGAAACAAAGACCCTCCAGTAGCAATAAGCACACCTTGCCCATGTCTTCATCTTTAATACCATTTCCTAGAAAAAGAAACCAGTTCCTTGGGAAAATGGCTGCCTCTAAGGCTAAGATCGAACACATAAAAGATGACTTTGATTTATCTCTTCATGCCATAAAGGGAAGAAGTTATTTTTTTCAAATCTTGACAAATATCACAATAGAGTGACTAGCAATTGGACAGAGGCTAGTGAGATGGCTCAGAGGTTGACAGTGACCTCATCAGGGCCTGCAATGTCACACACATACGCACATATGCAAATACACACAATTTTAAAGTAATAAAAAGAAATCTTTTCGGTCTAGTATGGTAGTCAAACCTTTAATCCAAGCACTCAGGAGGCAGAGGTAGCAGGATCTCTGAGTTCAAAGCTACCCTGGACTACATAGTAAGTTCCAGGCCAGCCAAGGATAAATACAAAGACCTTACCTCAAAAATAAATAAATAAATAAATAAATAAATAAATAAATAAATAAATAAATCCTTCCCCCCCCCCTTTTTTTTCTTTTTCTTTTTGGCCCTTTATAGGACTGGGGAGATGGCTCAACAGTAAGGATGTTTACTTCTCTCCCAGAGGAGCAGGGTTTGGTTCATAGCACCCATATCAGGTTACCCATTACCACTATTACTCCACTGCCAGGGATCCAATGTCCTCCTGCCTTCACAGACACACAACTATGCTACAGAATAGCTCATGCAAGCACACAGAGAGAGAGAGAGATAAAAATAATCTTTTAAAACAAAATCATTTTTTAAAAACAGTATAGTAATTACTGCTTGTCACCCAGGCATGATGACCTAAGTTTAACACTCAGAAGCCACATTTTTAAAAGTCTGTTAACATGTGTCTGTGATCCTAGTGCAGAAAAGGTGGAGGTGACAGGGTCCACAAGTCTCTCTGAGAAGCCAGCCAATAATCAAAGTTTTTTATGACCTCCGGCCTCCTCAAAACCACCCACCCACCCACCCACCCACACACACACACACACACACACACGAGATGGGGGAGAGACAAAATATAACACAGAGAGAATAGCAATGAATCATAAGCCATGAAAATTATAGAAATGTATGAATCCAATATGAACTGTTCCTATGGCAGATAAGTAAATGCTGACAGATTATCAGTGAAGGCTGCTGAAATAAAGACTGGCTCAGCCAAGAATCAACAGATGCTGGACAAACAATGCTGCACGCTCTACGGATACTTTTGATGAGGAAACCAGATACTTTCTAAGAAACAGAACAGTCCCCGCCCGGGTTAATCCAACTCCACAGCAGCCAAGTGGAGCCACGGCATACCTCCAGATATGACACCCTGGAAAGAGTACATCACTCCTGCAGTACTTTAGTTGTCTACATGTGGACACTCTAGTCATGAGAAGATGGTAAACAACCTCACAATGAACAAATTCTACTTCAAAATATTAGCAGTGTAAAATTTTTAAATCAAAAAAAATGTTCTGGATTCAAGGAGATGACATAGGCAGAACATGCTAAAAAATATTAATAGACCCAAGACTAGGCCTTATATTGAAATAAAGGGAAAGTGTATAAAGGTAATTACTGGGAGCCCAATATGGTAGCACACACCTGTGATTCCAGAGATCTCAAGAGACAGGGGCATGAGTATTGCAAGTTCAAGGCCAGCCTGGGCTACATAATGTAGTAAAATCCTATTTCCAAAGAAAAGCACAAAAATAAACAATGAAGAGGACAGATGTGCTAGCTTACCAGGTTATAAAGGCACATACTTCCAAACTTGATGCCTAGAATCGCACTGTAGGAGAACAGTAACCACTCCCATTATTGGGTTATTTAACTGACAAAATTAAAATAATGATGACAGATAATATAAAGGTCTCATACTGTCATGGAATGTAGTGATTCTGATAACTGAACCATGATTCCGTAAGACAGTGTTATTACTGCAAGAAAAAAAAAATAAAAGATTTAGGAGAAAATGGCCATTCCCATAGCATGTGGTCTCTAAAGATCAATGGGTATTGTTTCCTTGGAAAACTATCTTACAGCCTGAAAGCATTTTGTATTGAAAATGTCTGAAGGACAAACATGAAAGTAGAGAAAGACTCTGTCCCTGTCATACTCAATGGCATGTCAGTGCTTTGTCACAGTGGAAGAAGGCTTGGATGTTAGCAGAGCTCTTCTTTGTTCCAAGTCAAGGAACTGGTCTCCTTTATTCTCCCCAGGGTGAAAACCGGCATCGTGAAAGACTGGCCTCCTGATGCTAATGAATAAGAGCCTCCATCACAAGGAAAGAAATGTTTCAACTGACCTCTTGGAAGTCTTGCTCAAATTTCCACAGCTGCAGATACTGCTCCATTTTTTGCTGGTGTTTTTCCCAAAATCCATCAAAAGCAGTTTCCATATCATGCACTTGAGACAGCAACCTTAACAAACAAAAACCAAAGACTTATTTAAAAATAATCATTTGTGTGGCAGGTATGTAGCTAAACCTAGTCTGCTCATTAAGATTATAAACAGTCACAACCAACATGATGTACAGGGTCAAGTGAGCATAGAATGAAATCTTTGAAAAATAATTATTTCCTCAATAACAACAAAAAAAGAAAGGAAGGAAAGAAGGGAGGGAAGGAAGGAAGGATGGAAAGAAGGGAAAAGAGAGAAAAACAGAAGAAAGAAAAAAACAAAGAAAAAAGACAGAAAAAGAAAGAGTGAATGAGTGAATAAATGAATCAATGAATGAATGAATGACAGACAAAGGCCAAGAGTGGTGGCACACACTTGTAATTTAATACTTAGGAGGCAAAAGAATGCAGATTTCTTTAAGTCTAAGTCCAGCTCAAATTATATGGAATGTGAAGTCCTTTCTCAAAAAAAAAAAAAAAAAAAGGAATTATAGGCAAAAATAGTCTATGACATTTTGACACTTGGCTCAGGCAAAGAAAAATCAATGTCTGGGGAACTTAATTCTGCAAGCAAACTAATGTCTGCAGACCAACCCAGAGAAGAAGTTCCCAGACTTCCAGAGATCCAGAAATACTTTTATACCTAACAGCAACAAACAATGTAAAATTCCTAGTTTGAAAATATACGTAAATTTTAAAAGAAGGGAGTGCTTACTTATTAATAGTTTGCCAGTCACCATTTATGTTCTGAGGACGTTCAAGACTTGAACTGACAGTTTCTTCAGTGTTAGGCACTTGCAGGTTCTTGAGCAGAATTTTTCCTTCTTTGGTTACAGCTGTTAAGTCATTCTATATAAAGGTACAACAGGATATGCCAGCTAGTTAGGTAGTAATCAAACAGGAATTACTTGAAGAGAAGAGAATATAGAGGTATAGAAAATGTACAGCACAGGAGATAGAAATCACTCCAGCACAGCCTTTGCTTTCCCAGTATTTCAGGATCACAGAATCTGCAAATATTAGGCTCTGTGGCCAGGGAGATGGCTCATTTGGTAAATGTGCTTACCTTTGAAGGATGTAGACCTGAGTTCAATATCTAAAACACACATAAAAAACCAAAAACAAAAACAAAAAACCCAGGAAGATGGAGGAGGGCTATGGTTGTGCACACCTTTAATCCCAGCACTTGGGAGGGAGGCAGAGGCAGAGGCAGATAGATTTTTGTGAGTTCAAGGCCAGCCTGGTCTACAGAGACAATTCCAAGACAGGCTCCAAAGCTACTCAGAAAAACCCTGTCTAAACAAAACAAAACAAAACAAGCCAGGAATGATGGTGTACATTTATAATATCTGTGCCAGGTAGGTAGATCTAAGCAGATCCCTGGGGCTCTCTAGTCATCCAGAGCCACTGAGAGACCCTGTTTTAAAACAAAAACAAAACAAACAAACAAAAAAAAAAAAAAAACAAGGTAGGAAGCTGGAAAGATGGCTCCATGATTAAGAGTACTGACTACTCTTCCAGAGGATCCAGGTTCAATTCCCAGTAGGGATCTGACACACTCTTTTAGTCTCCATGGGCACTGAATGAACAAAGTGCACTTCACAGACAACAGGCAAGCAAAATGTCCATATAAGCTAAAAATAAAATAACAAACAAAAAGAATGAGGTGGATGTCAGATGAGGAAGAACAGTGTCCACTGTCTTCATACACATGTACCTACATACACATGATATAAACACTCATATATATGTAAGGCTCAAAGAAGTTCCTATATTACAAGCTATAATCCCCACCTGGTGAAATAGATGTTAGAGACAGAAGTACCAACCATGCTGTTTCTAGCTTCTTGTTACAGACAGCAAGTTCTAACCAATCTTTTCCATTTTGCTAATATTTTTAATTTGCTCACAGAGAAACATATTAACACAGAAACAACTACCATATCAGAAATCATAGCTACAAAGCAGATTTATGCATATTCAGAAAGAATTATATATCATTCTTACTAATCATTAATTATTACCAATCACTTCCTGCCTTAAGTCTTCTTGTAGATCACATCTGGGTTTAACTAACACCATGAAGCACATCCTTGGGAAATCTATAAACACAGACCTTCAGAGATCTACTCAATTCAAGATTTCTGATGAGTACATAGTTGGCATAAAAAATACGTAGTGTGAAACTGGGAATTGGTGGTGCATGCCTTTAATTCCAGCACTTGGGAGGCAGAGGCAGGCAGATCTCTGTGAGTTTGAGGACAGCCTAGTCTACAGAGTGAGTTCCAGGACAGCCTCCAAAGCAATACAGAAAAATCCTGTCTCAAAAAACAAAACAAACAAACAAACAAAGGTAGTGTGGCAAAAGGGAAGAATGTGTAATTACCGTGTATGAGACACTAAGTTTAATTCCCAGCACCAAAAAAGAAAAACATTAAAAAACAAACTAATATTAGTAAAGTACAAACTATGTGCGAAAATTCCATTGCATGCATACTGCATACTTATCTCATTACATCATCCCTACAGCTGCATACAAATCAGTCATGCAAGCCAAACCATGAGTGGTGGCACATGCTTATAACTGGTGAAAACACAAGAATCGTAGTTCAAGGACAGCTACAGCTACAGTTTATGCTAGCATGTATCATCATCACAGTTGTCACCTTATTGCATACAGTCTTTTGCTTCTAGATTATGATGCAAACATTTGGCTTCTCCTGTCTTATAACTAAAACATAGTACCCTATATAGAACTGAAAACTGCCAGGGTACCCAACATGTATATTATGGATGAGGGAGATAAATAATACTCAGATGCCTGATTTTCTTTGTCCAAATTGTCTAAAGTGCCTCTAAAAGTCAAATTGTCAAAACTGTTCGTCTCCTACCCCAGACAGAAATGAGTAGAACAAAATCAATTCCCCAGGGGACTAGAAAAATGCCTCAGGAGATGCACTTGCTTCTCTTACAGAGGACCCAGGTTCAGTTCCCACATGGCAGCTGACAATCACCTGTAACTCCAGTTCCAGGGGATCTGATGTCCTATTTTGGTTTCTGAAGACACTAGGCACACATGTGGAGTACATATATACATGGAGGCCAAAAAAACCCAAACATATAAAGTAAAAATTAAAGAAAAATATTTTCAATATATCTTCCATCTTCCCTATGTAAAAAGCAATGTGAAATGAACACATCAAACAACTTTCTAGAACAATAAATACCATTTGGCAGTGTGCATTTGGTGATGGTGCATACCTATACTCCCAGAACAAGAGGTTCAGAGAAAAAGATTCCAAGTTTGAGGTCATCCTAGGCTACATAGTGGGAATCCAATTCACAAACCACCAAGAGTTTAGGATTGTAGCTTAGTGATAGAGCTTGCCTAACATTCAGGAGGCCCTGGATTCTACTCTTAATACCACACAAAAGAATACAAGGGCCAAGATAAACAGGTATAGTTTGTGTGTTCCTCTTCTAATTAGACATACCTTCAGGAGCTGATACCTTTCAGCATGAACTGCCAGAATCTCCTCTATTGAAGGAATATCATCTGGTAGATCTGCTTCAGCCAGTTCTGTTCCAAAGGACTGCAACATCTGAGCCATCTCTTTCACTGTAATAGCAAACTTTTCTATAGCCTGTAAAAAGCCAGAGGATCTTTGATGGGAACTTATATTTCTCTATATATAGGCATAAACAACAAACATGAACTCTACTAAGAAAAATTGGCACCACCCCTGACAATTAATGTTAACTCTGCATCTGAATCTCCAAGAGACTAAAAAGCAGTGTCAAAATCCTTAACTGTGTATTTCTCCGTTCCTGGACTTGTTCCTTGGACACTCGTGGAAACCCTTTGTAAAAGATGCCATGTGCTGAGTACTTTGCTGTATGGCCTTAAACATCAGTGTCTTTCTTCCTTTATCAAACTCAGCACTTAACACAACTGCTTTCTAATAACTTTACTTCTAAAGAGACATGGGAACAACAATGCCATTCGATATTTAATAGTGTTTGTGATCGATCAGCGCTCCACAGAGCATGAGGGTCTAAGGAACTGGAGGGCAAACTGTCACAAGAATTCATTGCAGGTACTGCCAAAGATCCAAAATGGTTATCCCAAAGGTGCTGTCACCCTAAAATGCTAAGGAAGGCTGCACTATTTTGTTTCCACAATCAGTACCTCACAGGAAGACAGGGGAAATGAAGACACAATATAAACCATCTGTTGGGCATGTATCTCAAGATATTTGCTCTTTCACTTAGGACAAGGCACTGCTCACTCTTAACAATTAGCCTTCATGTGAACACCTCAATTGCTGAATGAACCTGCCAAATACACGGTTTGAATGAGGACTGGGAAATGTGACCCTGATTTAGTGGTCATCATTATTTTCTTTAGAAGTGTTCTCATCTCGTGAGATTGAAAGTCAAAACACTGAAATCCCAAGCTTTATTTTACTTGGGAGGCTACAGCCCTTCCCTCTTTTGAAAGTCTCTAAAACAGGACTCTGACAAAGCTAATATCCTTGGGAGTGTCAGTAGACCAAAACGAGTATACTTGAATTTTCTGAGGATCTCCATGTACCGAGCAGTGAGTCGAACATTTTGTACTCATTATCTCAACTAATCTTCCCAAGGTCCCTATAAGGTAATATACTATCAATCTCATTTTATAGATAGAAAAAAGACTAGCAGAGGTGGTACACATTTTCAAAGATCCAAGTGCAGGATTTGAACCCAAACTCTTTGCCTCTTTGTTACTACAGAATCACAGAAAGGTATGGACAGAGAATCCTCTCCTTTCTCCCTAGGCCTTTCCTTCAATTGCCATTCTTAGTGACTCATCATTATTTCGAGATCTCTTAGGGAAGAAAACCAAAATGTTGAATGATATATTTATCTGAAAAGTAGGAGACCCAATAATGCTTTTCCCAAGTAGGAAAAAATTTCTAGATAGAATGAAGGATAGGCTCTACAGTAAGGGCAGAAGCAACATACATTTCTGAAGATGATCCATTCACTGTGGCAGTACTGCAAGGTGCCGCCTAACTCAGGGGTTAATTGCTTGTCATCAATGTATGTCAGCAAATCACTAACTGAGCTCAGCATAACAACCTATGTAAATAAGCAAGAAAGACACTGTTAACTGCCCTTCATGACAGCCCTCTATCAAACTGCAAAATGAATTTCAGTGAGCACTTAGCAGAACATCATCCAGTCCAAATGCTACAAACAGTTCTTTCCTGTACATGCCCCCCACCCCACCATCTTCAGATAACAACCAAAATTAGCTTCTACAGAAACCCCAACACCCTAAATCTTCTTTGTCTAAAAGGTTTCATTAATAATGAGCAATCTTGTACACACACATATATGCACACAAATACAAAGAATTTCTGTGCTCAGAACAAAGCAAAAGAACTTTATGTAGTAAGTTACAATTCAGGTATCAAATTTTACAAGCACTCTATTCCAAACAATAAAAACTTATACAGGTGTATTTTCAAAATAAAGACATGGTACTTGGAATTAACTTAGGATCATGGTATTTTGGATACATAAACCATACAAGTTAACTGAAAATAAAAACCCCTATGCATACACAAACATAGATATATGCACACATATATAACATATAACACATATTTTTTTGGAGGGTGACTTGTTATAAGTTGCCTGAACTAGTCCTTTTAAACAGTAGAAGCAGATGGCTATAGGACATTTCAAGAATTAAATTTTTGAGAGACAAGTTTATTTAAGTGTTACATGGAAACAAGTAAAACAAACAGTATAGGGTACAGAAAACATAAGCGTTAGAAGGACCAAAGATTCAAGCAATAATCTTACTGGTAATTTCAGCATAAAATCCTCCTGGCTAAATCGAAATCCAATGTCCGTGAAAGTCCGTTGAAGAAAACTAGTAGGCCGTAAAACCAGGACTAAATGCAAGCTCCCAGGGAAAGAGGCCTGTAGTAAGGAAGAACAAAAGAGTGAGCGGGTACACAATTGACAAGACAAACTCCCAACTGAGCACAAATCAGAAGACATGAATTGGAGGAAGCAAACTTTAAAATCACAGAAGTCAATAAAAGGTCAATGTGTTTAAATGAATGGTGATAATATCTAAAAACAAGGAAATGGGAAAAAAAATAACATAGGGGCATTGGGCCAGATCCTTATAATGTTCCCAGTATGGAATTTTCTCGCAGGACTCAAGCACATCCTAAGCCGCAAGAAAATTAGGGTCTATAGCTGTATCTTGAAGTTAGTTTTGTTTTTAATGTTGTCTTTCTTTTAACTAATATATCGATATTTGAACTTATTTGTGTGCTAGTTTGATACATAAATATAATGTGTGATGATCAAATCATTAGTTAGCATTTCTTTCCCCTCAACATTAATTTGTGTTAGGAACTTTCAAACTCATCTAGTTATCTGTAATTATAGGCTGTAATTAGGCCTGCCTTATAGGACAACAGATCTGTTTCCTCCTCTTTAACTGGTCATTGCTATGTATCATCTGGCTCCCTGTATGGCTCTTCCCCCTCTCCCTTCCCCTTCCTATAGTAAGAGACTCCTAGTATGTTCCACTTTCAAATGATCAACTTTTATAGCTTCTACCAATGAGGGAAAATATGAAACTAGCTATCTTTCTGTGCCTGGCTCATTTTACTCAATAAAATTTCCATCTCGAGTTCCATCCATGTTAACAAAAACAATGGATGGCACGTCAGCTTTACAGCATGTGTACAACATTTTATCTTTTCACCCATGGATGGATATCTTGCATGGTTTCACACATTGCCTGTCGTTGATAGCTCTGCAATCAACATGGCTATTCAGGTATCCCTTTACAGTACTTATTTCAATTTCCTTGGACATACCAATAGTGGGATTGTTGAATTATATGCTAATTGTATTCTCAATTTTTGTGAAGAAACTGTTTTCTAGTAACAACTACAATTTCACATTCCTCCCATGTGCAAGGCATCACTCCTCTCTTCGTCTCTGTCAGCATGCTATTTTTGGTCTTTTGCATATTAGCCATTCTAGCCTTCTTGTGATTTTATTTTGCCTGTCCCTGATTAGTGATGCCGATCATTTTTACACACCTGTTTGATATTTATATAACTTCTTTTAAGAAATGCTATTCCTATCATTTGCCCATTTTTTAATTAGACTGGGATTTTGAGGACTTTTTTGTTTTGTTCTGCAATTAAAGTTGTTGTTTTGTTTTTTTTGAGGGTTTTTGTTTTGTTTTGTTTTGTTTTTTTATATTCTAGGTGTTAACCGCTTAGTGGACATTTTAAAATATTATTTCTGTTCTGTAGGCTACCCCTTCATTGTGTTCATTGTTTCCTTTTTTCATTGATTCCTTTTCATACAGAAGTTCTTTTCATCAGTTTAATTTTGTTTGCCTATTTATTCTTTTGGGCCTGCATTTTTGGACATATATATTTTTCAATAATACCAATTCATTTAAGAATACTTCCTATATTTTTTGCTTGTGTGAATAGTTCCATAGTTTTGAGTTTTTGTATTTAGGTCCTTGATCCAATTTGAATTATTATTTTATGGTAAGAGATAAGAAACTAGTTTCATTCATGTATGTTCATCTCCACCACCATTTATTATATATGCTCTTTTTGTTGAAAATCAGTTGTCAATACATTTATGGGTTCTTTTCTTTTCCGTTGGCCTATGTATCTGCTTTTATGCCCCAAATTTACTGAATTTGAAGTAAAATTGTATTTATTTCCTGTAAAAATGAAAACATTGGTCAGTGGTGGCACACACATTTAATCCCAGCATTTGGGAAGCAGAAGCAGGAGGATCTCTGTGAGTTCAAGGTCTGCCCGGTCTATAAGAATGAGTTCCAGGACAGCTAGGGCTACACAGAGAAACCCTCTCTTAAAAAAACAAACAAACAAACAAACAAACAAACAAAAAACAGATAATGGAGCAGCCAAATGTCTCAGCAGCTAAAGGTCCTTGCTTTGCAAGCCTGGTGACCTGAATTCCCAGTTCCCTCCTCAGAACCCACATGACACTGGAAGGAGAGAAGCAATTTCACAGAATTGTCAGCACCCCACACATACACATATTATGCACACACACACCATAAGAACTTTATAAGAAATTGTAATAACAGAATTAGGAGGCAAGTTCTTGTAATAACCCAAAAAGCCAAAGGTAGCTGAAATATTATCTAACTATACTGAGCAACTGAAGAAAAGTATATCATAGAATCATATTTTTTTCAACCAAGAAGTCTTATTTTCATCACTGCATATATTTAAATGAAAGATTATCAAGTGGTTTCGGGCACCAAGGATACACAAATTAATTAAAAGGCTTCCCTTCCCAAGAAAATGAAAGTTCAATAACTGAGTTTATTAGTAATCAGTACAGCATGGTAAGGCAAAAATAAAACACAAGAATTAGAATAATGTACACAGGAAGCAATATCACAAAGGTTGTAAAACATGAGAGAGCCAAAATGCCCTTAGAGGAAAAAAAAGAGGAATTAATTGAATCAAAATACCTTCTGAATTTTTCAGTATTTCCTTGACTTCTAGAAAAAAAGGGGGGGGGGGCTAACACATAGTAAACAGTTGTTCTGGCTTTCATTTCTGTTGCTGGGATAAAATATTCACGCTAAAAGTGATTTTGGGTTTACACTTTGTTTTTGATGCCAGGTTCCAGCTCATCATATGGGGAACTCAAAGCCAAAAGACCATGGGAAAACCGGTCACATCCCCAGTCAAAGAGGGACACAAAATGAATGCACCATGATGGCTTCTTTGCTCAGCTCACCTTCTCTCTTATACCACTAGGGGATAGTGATGTCTAAAGTGAGCATGGTCTTCTCCCATTAACAATCAAAACATTCTTCCATACCTCAACGAGATCTTTATAATTCCTCATTGAGAGCCTCTTCCTGGAGGATTATTGCTTGTGTCAAGTTGACAATTAATACCAACTACCACAGCAGTGAAAAATAATCACTACATAAAGGAATTCCAAAGGGAAACAAACAAACAAACAAAAACGAAAAAAAGAAACAGGGACTACTATGAAAAGAAATAGCACGGTCCATCATTAATATATCACCACACATTAAATGGACTGCTGTATACCAAATATTTAGCCAATACTTACAGTTCGACTTCACCATAGTTCAGGGACTGAGTTAAGTTGCTCCTTTTACAAATAAAGTGAAGCTCAGGGTGTTTAAGCATAACCCATGAAGCCTTGACTTATGCTAAGTCTGGTGGCCATAGTCATTAAACTACCTCACTTCTGAAGATGTCCCATAAAGAAAGGTAGAGGAACAGAACTCTGAGAGGAAAAGAGGACAGACAAGAACCACAATGGGAGCTAGTCTGCTGTTTTCTCCCTTAGAAGTAAAGGGAGTGTCTAGGACCTTTTGAGTACTATAGCACCATGGTCAGATATGTGTTTTGTTTTATTTTAAATTTTCTTGTGGTGCTAGGAATTACACCCTACATCATAGAACTACATCTTTAGCCATATCTTCTTAGAAAGATCTCATGAGCCTTGAGAAAGAACTTAATTCAGATACAAGTAGAACCAGACTTGAAATGACCTTGTAGAATGGTACAGTAAGTCAGATCCTCAACCAGAGCAAAAATAGCAGGAGTCATGGGTAAAATCCAGGAAGCACCATCATTAAATCATAATGATTAAATGTACTTGATAAGAAAGAGGGACTCAGGGAAACCTATTCCCACATTTGAGATTTGAGTAATCCAGATGGAAACATAAAAGAAGCATGCTTTATGAAGGAAGGCAAGATTCTGGTTCCTTTCTATAGATATTGTGTGTTGGAAAAGCCAACAAGGTGTTCTCATATGTATAAGATAGCTCTCTGTAGGGACAGAGGGAAGTAAGGTCTTATTTGGGAGTGCAGACATCAACCTCAAGAGGGAAGATTAAAGCATAAGGAAGCAAACTATGTAAAAATGTTTCAAGTATACTCATTTTAAGCTTAATACAGTACTAGTGATTGAACAAAGCTATAAAACAAAATTAACAATGAGTTTATAAGAACTCTCTGTACCCCCTGTTCAATTTAGTTTTCCAGTTAAAACTACTCTAAAAAATAAACACTATAAAAAGAAAATAATACATTATTGAGATATGAAACTCAGATCTCAGGGCTAGCAAATAAGTCAGCAGTAAAGAACACTAGTTACACTTCCACAGGTCCCAAGTCTGGTTCCCAGCACCCCAGTCAGACAGTTCCGAACCATCAGTAAGTCCAGTCCCAAGGGACCTGTCACTTCTTGTGGACTCCTTAGGTACTGCATTTCCTGCATTCATACATGAATTACTTCTGACAAACATTCCTAAACGTAAAAACAAAATCTTCAAAAAATTTAAGGCCAGCTTGGTCTAGATAGGAAGTTCCAGGCCACCCAGTGCTACATAGGGGACCCTGTGTAGAAAGTAAGAGGGAGGGAGGGGAAGAAGGAGGGGAAGGGGAGGGGGGAGGAGATGAGAAAAAGAGAAAGAAAAGGAAAAATGGCTCAGTGATTAAGAGCACTGGCTTTTGCCCCAAAGAACCAAAGTTCAGTTCTCAACATCTACATCAAACATCTTACAAGTGTCTATAACAAGTTCCAGGAAACCCAAAGCCCTCTGCTGGCCTCTGAGCACACTTGTACACACAGGTGCATGCACACACACGTGCTTGTGAACATACGCACACACATATACACAATCAAAATATATAAAATTCTGAAAATGAAATAAAAACATGTGTATCATGTAGGAGTTTGATTTCTTGTTTCTCTTGAGACTAGACAGTGCTTGGGCACATTTTCCATCCATTTTTGGATGCTCTCTTTTTCACCACAGTGATCACCACTTCCTGTTCCTACCATTTAGGGTCTATGTTAACTAAATCCTCACTACCAAACATTTACAGTTTTCCTCACATA